CGGTTCGGGAATCTCAGACGAGAGTTTAAATCTCTTCGCTGTGCCGCGCCATTGCTATAGGACACTGACTCGGCACACCCAATCAAGTTATACTACTGAACTCATTACACAGGACATGCAATTAGCCGAGTAGCGTCCACACAGATTGCAGCCAATGTCAACAATTCCATTTGTCGAGAGAGGAGTGTTGGACCACTACAATGGGACCAGGTGGATGTCACTGCGCGGTTTTCTTTTCCAGTTGCGCGCTCCACGAGTGATAGGGCTGAGGAACAGTGTCACCGTGAACAGACTCAGAACTAGCGAAGAGTTTAGAAGGACTAAAAAGGGCGCAACCTGACGCACAGAAAAGGATCATCGTGTTTTCCACGAATCCACGGCATACGGCAAGTCCTCCGTATCTAGTCCGGCCCGCGAAATCCGTAACCATGGATCCAGGGCCGTGTCTGACTCTGTCATCCACCCCCCTGGAGATCCAATCTCCACCAGCTTAGATTGATCCTCCTTCTTAAAGAGGCAAGCCGAAGGCAGACCGTGCTTCGAAAGGTTCGAAGCTTCTTTATCCTCCCGCCTTGTAACCGTGGCGCGTCGCGAGGTGATCACCCTAATCATCCCTTTTTCTCTTACCGGGACTCCGCACCATAGGACCGACCCAACCCGATAGTGGTTGCGATAAGGACAGGATTGCAATTTGTAGATCAACGAGCAAAGGAGCTATTTAGAAACCATCATCGTTGGTGCCTGCGATAGCGCACAACAAGTGCCACCTTGAGTGCCACTCAGAAACGTGGCCGGAGGCGGAGATTTTTCTACCTGCGCCCGTTTATCGCCACCACAGCCAAGCGCAACACGGGCAACGTAGCTTTCCGACATTGTCAACAGAGTTTCTTGTCAATGTTATTCTTATTCACTCGTGGCCCGATACGAGGATCAACACAAGGAACCAAGCAAGACGCAATGAAAAAAAAAAGTCTGGAACCAGGGACAGGTCCGGGGATACCCGACCCATGAAGTAAAAAGTAGCAAAAGTAAAAAGTAAAAAGTAAAAAGTACTCCGTCCCAGCGCGGCTTCTCGCATTTTCTTCCATGGCCGAGGATGAAACCCGGAGCCACTTTCTGACTCGCTTGCCGGCTTCCGACTGGCGTTGGTCGCCCCACGTGGGCCTGGCAGGAGGATTACTATTATTCTATATTATTCTGGTCTTATTTTGCATAAGCCCACACACTAGACAAGGTCAACGAACAAAGAAAATAAATGAGAAAAAGTCAAAAAGGCAAAAAGTACGAAACGACGTGAACCCTGACCCTTTGCCAAGACAGCTACTGAGATAGCCTCTTTTTCTAACGCAGCGAGTGATTCTGATGCCGAGAAATCGAAACCATCACCGCTTGTAGTTGTCTGATGCCCTCAACATAGCTCACGATGGTCCAGTAGCCCCAACCGAGGCCCCAGCCAGCAGCAGTAGTCATTATCAACCGGCCGATAGGGATTTTCATGCCAATAACAAGCTTCGGTGGCGTTTCTAGGGTTTTCCTCTAGCGCTAGAACCATTGGGACCATCGCATGGAGGTCGCATTCTGAGCCGTCTCCAGGGGGACTATTGCCCTCTTATAAAGCTTGGTTGAGACTAGAGAGACGCCGTTCGCTGCGGAGGTTCAGATGGACAGCTAAATGAGCCAAGCTCGCTCCCAAAACCTCCCAGGTGGAGATGGGACCCCCCAGTCGTCACGGAAGATGATAACTCCTTTCGGCACATGCCCGAACCCGCCCCGGTAATTGCACTGAGTCGTTTCCGTAAAATCCGTCGAATCCACGGTACCCTCGATCGACACTTGACGCGACGTTCCTAATTGGACTTAGAGCGGGTGAGGGCTCCTGGCCACGCTGCCTGCTAGGACCAACCCCAGGGGGTGGAAGGACACAGCGGTTATATAGGTCAAATGCCGTCGGTGGAAAGGAAGCCTGAAACAATTCCACCCCCGGTCACCTTTCCCCATCATGCTGTCCCTGGCGATCCAGTCCTTGCTGTACGAGGCAGACGCCCATGCGGCCAACCCGGCCCTGCAGCGTCGCTCGTCCTCGTCGAGCACCCAGGGCGAGGCTGTTATGAGCCCACTGCCGAGTTTGCAGACCAAGGGCTTGATCGTTATCTCGGCGCTGGCCACTGTCTCACTCATTTGCACTCTTTCCTTATTGACTTTCTTTACCTATCGTTTTATTTTCTGGAAACGCCACTACAAACGTTACATCGGTTACAACCAATATGTCGTGCTCATGTTCAACCTCATTCTGGCTGACTTCATTCAAAGTCTGGGCTTCATCATCAGTTTGCGATGGATCCAGACCAACTCGGTGACGGCCGCAGACCCTGCATGCTTCCTGCAGGGCATCTGGCTGCAGATTGGTGATCCCATGAGTGGTCTGTTCGTGCTCGCTATTGCCGCGCACACTTTCATGCACGTCACCTTGGGCTACCAGATCTCACACCGTCTTTTTGTTTCCATCGTTTGCGGACTCTGGCTCTTTGGGGTTATCACGACTGTCATTCCGATCGCAGCACACGGTCGGTACGTCTGGTATCCGGCTGTAGCCTGGGTAAGTTGATCATCTCTTTACAATATCTTCATAAGTCACTAACATTCTCCTAATCTAGTGCTGGATGACCCCCAAGTACGAGTCGATGCGTTTGTGGACTCATTACTTTTGGATTTTCGCCTCGGAGTTCTTCACCGTCGTCCTGTATGCGATCATGTTCCTCCAACTGCGCAAGAGGATCGCCGAGTCAGCCATTCTGGGCGAGCACAACTCCGAAAGTCTGACCCGACTCAAGCGTGTCATTTTTCACATGGCGTTATACCCCGTTGTGTATATCTGCCTTACCTTACCTCTTGCCGCAGGTCGAATGGCTTCTGCCAGTGGCCATTCCCCCAGCGTTCTCTACTTCTGCTTTGCCGGCTCCTTCATGACTCTGTGTGGCTTCTGTGATTCCCTCATGTACACACTGAGTCGCCGCAGCGTGGTGCTGGAGCCCGAAGCCAGGATCCATGGCAGCAGCAACAAATACTCCAGCCGACCGAACAAGTCGTCGGTCGCACACCACTATGGCAACAGTATCGATGGCAAGGGACCGACCAACACCACGATTGCGCGCGGCCGCAGCGATTCCACCGAGGAGATGATCGGCAAGGATGGGTTGGAGCTGGCCCCGATGGGAGTGGTGCTGCAGCACACGACGATTGAGGTCACCCATGAGGCGGCCTATGACTCTGCATCAAGCAATCTAAGTGGCCAACGCGAGCGAAGCAGCATCTACCATTAGACTCCTAAGCTGCCCTGATGATTCTACACCTTCTATTTGAGATTACCGGCCGAACACCAAGGCCGGTCTATAAGATTTTAATCCAGTCGCATTGCCATCCTACTACTCGACCAGTTGAGAAACTGTGTTCTCATTCCTTTGCATTTGCGACAATACATCTCGCGACAGATATGCGAGCATCGCGCGCCCGCAAGCAATCGTTGCTGACCGATTTGCGACCGACGCGGGCATTGCCTGAAGGTCCCTCCGTACACATTAGAGGACCGAAACCCTCACTGGGTTAGCGACGACCCAGCTCCGCCACTAGCTGGCGCGGTCATACCACATGCGCCGCGAAACACATCGGAGTTTATTCGAAAGCAAAGCCCATGGCGATAAAATGCCACTTACAATGGGCAATTCTTTTTTCCCAACTCCTAACCGATAACCAAAGCCAGACAGGCTTTGCAACGCTTTGACCTGCGCTGGCCACGCAATGAATGAGAATGGCCCCCATGCTAATAATCCTCGGGGATAATGATTTTGGCGGAGGACAACAACATCTGCCATCTACACTTCACTGTACATATTTCCTTACTGTCATGATACAAGTACAAACGAATGTAAACAAAAAGAAATACCACGATGATGCTGTACCATACATCATAAACTCGGAACATAGCCGACAAGCCAATAGGAATGAACCCCATAATTGAGTTGTCCCAAACCCCGCACGGGGACAAGATCTAAGGTTATCTGCATCTCATTCCCCCTTGCTTCCAGCCCGATTGCATCTCTCATCTCTCTATCTCTATTCTCAGTTTACAAATACATACATACAACCATCATGTACATGAAAGAAATCTACACCGACTCCACCCCCTCAACCCTACACACCTTCATCCAACAAAACCCTCTCGGCGTACTCACCACCGCCATCCCCTCCCCTCCACTCCCATTACTCCAATCCACCCACATCCCCTGGGTTCTCGACATCCCCTCTCCCACCACCACTGATGATACCAACAATAAGATCAAACTCCGCGGCCACATCGCCCGCGCCAATCCCCAATGCGCCGCCATCCTCGACTCCCTAGCCACCCAATCTGAATCCATCCTCCCCACCGAAGTCCTCATCCTCTTCACCTCCCCCTACCACAGCTACATCACCCCGCACTTCTACACCACCACCAAGCCCCAGACCGGCAAAGTCGCCCCAACATGGAACTACGCCGCCGTGCAAGTCTACGGCCGCGCGCGGATCTACAACCCCCGTTCGGAAGGGGAAGGGGGTCAGCAGGCCTCGATGTTTCTGAATAAACAGCTTCGTGATCTCTCGGCGCATTGTGAGGGGAATATCATGGGGTATACAACCACCAGCACTAGTGATACTCATGACAACCCGGAGGAGAAATCATGTCCACGAGCATGGACCGTCGACGAAGCGCCAGAGACATACATCAATATCCTGAAGAAGAACATCGTCGGGATCGAAGTGACTGTGGAGCGCATGGAGGGGAAGTTTAAGATGAGCCAGGAACGAGGCGAGGGGGATCGGGAAGGGGTGCTGAGGGGTTTGGATGGGATGGGAGGGGATGTTGCGAGGGGAGTGGCGGGGATGGTGAGGGGTTATGCTGCTGGAGATAGATAGAGAGTGGGGGTGGAATATGAAGGGTAAGTTGGGGAGGAAAATACATCAACGGCAAGATGGCCGAGCGGTCTAAGGCGCTAGGGTCAGGTGTATCTGATCAGACATGTTCCTTCGGAGCATTCCTAGTCTCGAAAGGGGCGTGGGTTCGAATCCCACTCTTGTCACATATCTTTTTGCATTTTTTCTTTTTACACCTCCCGTGTGAGGAGAAAACTGTATAGATCGAAAATAGATTTTATGATCGTGTTTCTCGTTAAATTTGATGTTGTTGATTCCTTTATTCGCGGTGCCTTCTGTATCTATCATCGCCGGCGAGACTACAATATATCTATCACCGATCATCTATACTCAACCCAGCCACCCACATCTACAATTTAGCGATCACGACTAAGTAAATAGCTAATAAACGCTCTAACACTGATATTCCTTGCATCATCATCCTCAAAAGCAAAGAGAGATCAAACACGGATACCTGAGACCCGTATGGTCCCTATTGTCACCGGGCAAGTTTCAACCCGAGAATCCCAAACAACGGCGGTATAGGAACAGCCTCCCACCGGGCGCTGTATCCCAGAGACATAATCGTAGCCCTTATTCTGCCCTGAGAACCTGGAACAGTTGTGCTAGCTGCTTCGAACCCCACTGTGGCTTACAGGACATGCTTGGGCCTTGGTGAGTGCTTTATCATTTCCCCACTAGAGCAAGGAAGCTTTCAAAATCGAAATCCCAGAGTCTGACCTCCCTGAACAACCACTGTTTGAAAGTATCGTGAATGCAATTCACACTTTGCCAAGCTCATCGCCCCCTCGTAGACAGTTCCCTCCCCCACGACATCTCCCGTATCACCATAACAAGCTTCGTATTTTGATAATGCCAAGGACGGATAGGCGAGACTGAAGTCATCTGCTCATCTGGTCGTCTAGTTACCATGCTCTGCGTCATACCAGTGACTCATATCCAACTGTCGCCTCAGCCTAATTTTGAGCTCGAGCCACCAGGTATCTAGAGTCAGGGCTAACGACTGAAGCGCTCACGGCCGATACGGAGACCGTCGGCACAATGAACCGAACCAGAATGATAGATAGCTTCATCTAGAAGATAACCAAATTGGGAAGCTGTAGTAGTAGTAGTGAAAGTGAACTATCGTGGATAAGAGAAATGAGAGTATGAGGCGGTTTGTCACTAGCCTGGGTTCTCATTATTAGGAACATTAGCGGAGGGGTGGACTGAGCGCTAGGTGGATAGGATTGGTCAGGAATTTTATCGACATTGGAGAGAGAGATGTAGTGGACCCTGATTTGACTTCTCTCGTGAGGTGAGAATGGCATTTCAGAGTTATCGAACTGCTGATTTTTTTTTCCGAGTTTGAGGGGTTACGTTCTATTCGTATAGATCAATTGCTAACATTCTGTGTCCTGCGTCATATCTTCCGGTCGTTTTGCATGTCTGTGACATTGTCAAACAACAAGTCCAGTAAACACCAATTACCCCTTTCACCACGAGCATGATAGTAAAAATCTGCTTATGATAACGGCAGAATTAGCCCCTCGATCCACCTTATACGAAGTGGATATGGCAGTTCACGGCCAGGGTGCGAATCAGGGTCTTGCCAAGAGCTCTTTGATCTCTAGGCGAACGGGCCGATAACCACGAAGGAGGCGCTATTGCCAGGGATTAAATTGCATTGTACTGTGTCAAGGCCCGTTGAACAAGGCTGTGAAACCGGCCAGGACCGACAAACTCAAATGGTCATATGCTAAGCCTTTAATAGCAACTGTCTTATGTTTGTTCCAGTCGAAGGATGGTTAGTTAGCTAACATTAATCGCGACGGCTTATTAACAAACTCCATCGACCGCAATTTTTGCAGGCGTGGAAAGGCGCGGATGACACACTGTCATTGGATAGGGGAGCAAGTCCGCGGTGACTAATGAGGGCAAGATTTAGCGCCGGTCGAAGAATCGGGTGTCTCCGCCTGCATCCGAGCGATGCGTGGCCACGCCATCCCACGTTGGGGTGTCGTCACTGCTGGGTTTGCAAGTGATGAACAGCATGCAGTTGTCATCTCAATAGCAAAAGGGCTATGATGTTCATGTTGTAGTAGTCAAGATGCCATGTCAGAGGCCATGCTTTTGCCAAGAGTCATCATTTCCGGTATGACCGACGGAGTAAACCCCCGTCTATCCACTAGTTCGAGCGAGGGAATAGTCTCGCAGTTCCTCTTCCTCCTCGGGGTGGCGGATAGAAGAGTTCTTCATTTGATGGTTGCCTGCCAACGACCCACTTGTCTAAGTTTCCCCCTTATGGGATTCGTTGGTTGCCAGACAAGAGCCTCTTCACAGCCCAGCGCTTGTCAGCAAAAAAGCAACAGCCCCAGGGTCTGAAGGCTGACATTGGAGCGGGTCTCTGGCGCTGGATGGCTTTCTGTTAAAAACTCAGGAACAGACCAAGACGAAGCGACCGCGCAAGGCTGAGCACTTCTCCGACTTCCCCGTGCCCCTCCCTGCGCCTCCCATGGGCAACTTTTTATCCAGATCCATCGTTTCTGCACCGAACATATAAGAAGCTCCGCTCCCCCAACATCCCCCCGACAGGTTCGCCCCCAAATTACGTGAGAAGGGAAATCATCACAGCACCACCATGAAGAGCACCACCCTTCTCTCTTTGGCCTGGGCTGCCCAGTCCGCCTATTCCCTCTCTATCCATGAGCGCAATGAACCATCTACGCTTCAGTTCAACTTTGAACGTCGTCAGATCGCCGACCGGTCCCGCCGGAAGCGATCGACGGCTTCGGCCGACCTCGTTAACCTGGTACGTTGTTGACATCCCGATTCTGGATCAGGGGCATTGTGACGGTCGCTAATGCAGGTCTTTAGGCGACGAATCTTGGCTACACGATGAACCTCACTCTCGGCACTCCCGGCCAGGAAGTCAGTGTGACGTTGGACACCGGCAGCAGCGATCTCTGGGTCAATGGCGCCAACTCGTCCGCCTGCCCCTGTACCGATTATGGCTCCTACAACTCGAGCGAATCTTCCACCTACACCTTTGTGAACGATGACTTTTATATCGAGTATGTCGACGGCAGCGAAGCCACGGGCGACTACGTCAACGATACCCTAAAGTTTTCCAATGTCACCCTGACGAACTTTCAGTTTGCCGTCGCATATGACGGCGACTCCGAGGGTAGGCTCCCACTATTCCCTGACTAGTTTGTTTTAACAGTTTGCTAACTGCTTTCCGTGTAGAGGGCGTCCTCGGTATCGGATACGCCTCCAATGAAGCCAGCGATGCGAGCTACGGTGGTGGTGGTGAATACACCAACTTCCCCGAAGCCCTCGTCGACCAAGGCGTGATCAACTGGCCGGCCTACAGTCTTTGGCTGGATGACCTCGACGAAGGCAAAGGCACCATCCTGTTCGGCGGAGTCAACACCGCCAAGTACTACGGCAGTCTGCAGACCCTGCCTATCGTCTCCATCGAAGACATGTACATCGAGTTCGCTGTCAACCTGACGGCCGTGCACCTCGAGAAGAACGGCAACCCCGTCTCGGTCAACAACAGCGCCACGCAGTTCCCCATCCCCGCCGTGCTGGACAGCGGCACTGCCCTGACCTACATCCCGACCTCCGCCGCAGCCAGCATCTACAACGCCGTCGGTGCCACTTACATGAGCGAGTACGGGTACGGAGTGATCGAGTGCTCTGTCAAGGACGATGATTTCACCTTCCTCTTCGACTTTGGATCCTTCAACATGAGCGTTGACATCAGCGAGATGATCCTCGAGACCAGTTCCGACATGACCGACATGAACATCTGTACGTTCGGACTGTCAGTGATCGAAGATGAGGCCCTTCTCGGCGACACTTTCCTGCGCAGCGCATACGTCGTCTACGATCTCGGCAACAACGAGATCTCCCTGGCCAAGGCCAACTTCGACCCCGGCGAGGACCACGTCCTGGAGATCGGCACGGGATCCGATGCCGTGCCCAAGGCGACGGGAGCGACGGAACCGACGGAACCGGCCGCCACGTCGACGGGCTCGAGCGACAAGTCGGACAAAGAGAGTTCGGCTACAGTGCCGCGCAGCCAGATTGCCTCGCTGGTGGCGGGAGTCGTGGTTGGCGTTTTCTTGGTTCTGTAAATATAGAGATTTCACGTTGCATCTTGATGATATACCATAGACCTTCCTAATTTTGTCCCTTACTTCATGGAATGTTATTCTGTTTTTAGCTTGATATCCCGTCGTTTGATGCTCAGTCATGGAATTGAATGAAACTCGGAATGCAAGATCTGATCGAATAGTTTGTTTCACTGCCGCATGGCTGGTCCGATCGGCACGAAGCCAGTTAAAAGAGCCAATCATACTTTGTGATGATCTGTCAACCCCCTTGCTACTATAATTATCATGCCATGCCGGTGTGACCTATCTCATTGGGCTGTACCCACACCGTTGATGGCCACCCGCGACCGGGGAGTTGGTAGCCTGCCAAGATCAGAACGGCTTTCTTGAAATTTCGTCGTACTTTCTTATATGGGATGTGGCTGTAACGAGTCAGTTTCAGTCTCTGGTTACAGGATTGAGTATCTTTATGATCTGTGCCTGCTATTCGGATGATGACGTAGTGTAAACGTTAGTAGGGCGTTAAAGGTTTTGTGCCTGTCAACCTCACCAATCCGTGTCCATCATTATCTCGACGACTATCATTTCGAACCTGAAGCACCCCTTCCTCTGGAAGTGTTTCCCTCGTCAATCAGAAAGTTCGGCGTGGACGGGCCTGAAGAGTATTCGGAGACGGTCGGGAGCACTTTAAATGCCCATCGTATGTGACCAGGATCGCACTAAGGAGATCCAGTCTCGAATGAAAGGAAGCAAAGCTACGCAGAACCCGGATGGGGCGAAATGAAGCAACGCCGAGCACAGACAAGAATATGATATATCTTCATCCCAACCTTATCCCAACCAGACTTCTCTTCCAAACAATCTGAAACCTCCTCGACAGCCATCATGTCGTTCCTCCCCCGCCTCCACCTCTTCGAGATCGCCGACCAGCCATGGTGTCCCCACAAGGCGATCGAATATGCTCAGCTATGCCTTACTCACTGCTGGAATTTGCGCCTACCGCCCGTCACCAAGGCTTCTTCAGCCGTTGTTGCCTGCGAAGTCCTTGCAGATAACTTCCCCGACCTCTCGTCCTTCACGTTTGTCGATCTGGGCTCGGGCGCAGGTGGCCCATCCGCCACTTTTGAAAGACTTCTCAACGCCCGCCTGCGGGCTCAGCACCTCCCTCCAGCCCAGTTCCTGCTGACCGACCTCAATCCTCACCCTCGCGAATGGGCTGCTCTCACCAAACAGCAAGAAAATATCTCATACATCTCAGAACCAGTCGATGCGTCAAAATGTGGTCGATTAGTCCCACAAAACCGGAAGGAATGCCGAATGTTCAACGTGGCTTTCCATCATTTCGACGACCCGCTTGCTGTACCCATGTTGCGGAGTGCGGTTGAGTCGGCTGATGCATTCATGTATGTAATTAACCCCATACCCATGTCTTCAAATCGAGTATCAACTATACTAACAAAGATAATCAGTATTTTCGAACTCACCGCGCGCGATCTCAGCTCGATGCTAATATTACCAGGCCTGATACTGATCGCATGCCAACACACCCTGCTCCGATTCTGGCGGTCGCCGTTACACTTGCTTTTCACATTTGTGTTGCCTCTGGCGCCTCTGCTGATGGTTTTTGATGGCTTTGTGTCTATCATGCGCTGTCGGACTTCAGATGAACTGCACGATCTGGTCAGACGGACGGATGCGCCTGGTTTGGAGAATTGGGAGTTTCGGTCGGGAAAGTCGCCGGTTATGTATCCGACTACAAATGTGCATTGGTTTATGGGGGTGAAAACGACGGTGCAGTCATCCTGCTAAGAGGTGGATGGGCAGTCTGACTTGAGTCAAGATTAGTTCGGTGCTATGTAGTGGGCTTATGCTATTCTAGACGTCAACAATTTAGTACATTGACAGAAGTCGTATGCTAGGTTAATATGAATATGATGACGAGGTGAAACGATAATTATGGGAATTCTTGCAAATATACTGCAATCATCCTTTTCTACCCAGATAGTGTACTTATGTCATCATTGTTAACATCTGGGACGCTGTATAGGACCCAAGCCGCTTCGGCGCAGCAATTAGCTGCCATGGTCCATTGTTATACTATAATTAAAATATCAACCATAGAGCGGAAGTCGACCAGGCTTCGACATGGTGGCTCTTTGTGATTGATTGGAGAGACGATGTAGCTCTGAAGGTATACATGTCTAGTGCAAGTTAGACCACCCAACAGCCGATGCCGAGGCCCTAAAACCTACTAGCAGATAGTGGGAAGATAACCACCACTCGGTAAGCCCACGTGCTTTTCCTGCTTGCCGATGAGAACTTAAAACGTTCGAACGTCAGGAGATCTATCTTACAAAGGTCGCGTGGCTGACGCAGCGAAATGCAAGGACCCGGGAAAAGGCTCGCATTCAGCCTGGGGTACGACTCGCGTCTCCACACCCCATGTAAGCGAGATGATGGCTGCAGCCGAGACATGACAGATGCCCTATCTTGTGGTGCCGTGGCTGTTTTGAATCAAGGAGATGCCCACGTGCATCGATGCTCTGCAGCTGCTGGTACACTCCAACGATATCTGAGCATGTCGTATACACAATAATGCACAACACAGTGATGGACATGTATATGGCTTTGCATTTCTTTGCTTCCCCTGGAGCACGGCATGCCTACAAATTGGCGTCGCATCCACCCCTGAGTGGTATTGTCACTAAATGAATGGTTTCTTGTCAATTAAGTGGGAGTATCAACATGCACCCGACTTTCACTACCCTATCTATACTGGCAGTAGCCTCTTTAGCTGATGCTGCTGCCATTGAAGCCCGCTCACAGAGCTCAACTCCACTGACTCCCAGTCCCTCAGCTACCGCAACCGGAGTTGATTGGTTTCAGACCACGCCCGAGAGCTACCAGGGTATGTGCTTAGTCTTTTGCAGACTTGTGTTGGGCTGACTCCAGAAGGCACGACTGCAACCGGGGTTGCTCCCTTCTTAGCCGAGACAAATCCTGCTCCGTTTGGACAAAAGACACTGTCTCCCAATGACCCGCTGGAAACAAGTGAGCCGATCAAGGGGGCCGCTGGCCGCAATATATTCCATTACATGGGCAACCTAAGGTACGTATCTTAATGATGGATTTCCCATTGTTCTCAATGTTACCCAATACACTAACAGATACAGTCCTTATCATGTACCCGATGGCTTTGGAGTGGATGAATATCCTCTCCCGCAAGGATCTAACATCACCCAAATGCATATGATTCACCGCCATGGTTCTCGGTATCCTTCATCCTCAGAAGGTCTGGCTTCATGGGCCCAGAAGATCATCAATTCTACGGCTAGTGGTAACAACTTCACGGGCGCACTTTCTTTCCTGAACGATTGGGACTACGGACTGGGGTTAGAGATCCTCGTCCCCAAAGGCCGTCAGGAGCTCTATGACAGCGGCGTCCTAAACTTCTACAACTACGGGCACCTCTATAATTCCAGCTCGACCCGTAAGCTCGTAGCGCGCACCACCACCCAGGACCGCATGCTCAAATCCGCAGAGAACTTCCTCGCAGGCTTCTTTGGCCTTGAATGGACAGAAAAGGCCAACCTACTACCAATAATAGAAGGTGTTGGCTACAACAACTCCCTAATTGGGACTTACTCCTGCACCCGCGCACTAGAGTACATGGCATACAATGCCACCACACCCCTATCAACATGGAAAAACATCTATCTCAAAGAGCGCACCGAAGCACTCCACACCCTGACTGGATCCTACAACTGGACCACGACCGACAGCTACAACGCGCAGAGTATGTGCGCCTACGAGACCATCAGTTACGGCTACAGCCGCTTCTGCGAGCTTTTCACCTTTGAAGAATTCGAAAACTTCAGCTACTCCTTCGACATCGAATTCTCCAACATGGTCGGATTTGCCTGTCCCGCGGGCCGCGCGCAGGGAATTGCCTGGGTAGAGGAATTTCTCGCCCGTGTGGAGGGTCACTTACTCCAGACTACAGGCACCAATGCCAATATGACCCTGGACACGAATCCTGTGACGTTCCCAACGGATCAGAATCTCTACCTTGACTTCTCGCATGATGCGGGTATAGTCGCTGTTCTCACTGCGTTTGGATTCAGTCAGTTCGCCCAGTATCTGCCTCCTACTGGACCTCCTCTATACCAGCAGTTCAAGGCTAGTAACATTGTTCCTTTTGGTGGACGGACGAATATTGAGATCATCAAGGCGCCTCATAAAGTGTCTGCTACGCGTCCTGCGGGTGATCAAGGAAATGCCTATGTGGATGGTACTGGGGAAACGTTCTACGTTCATTTTTTGCAGAATCAGCGTACGCTTCCTCTGCATTCTAGCTTTGCGGATTGTGAGTATCGTGATGATGGTTGGTGCGAGCTGTCTACGTTCATGAATGTTCAGAAGAAGAGTTTGGAAAGATCTCAGTTTGAGTATGCTTGTTTTGGTAATTGGACTGTGACTGAGTATGGGACTGTTACTGATGGTGTTCCGGTTTGATGCTGGATTTCGATGATGTATCATATAGTGTGATGCACAGAGGCTAGTGTGGTATGGGCATATAGTATCTGTTGGAATATGAGAGATACGAGATCTAAAATAGGAGTTTTTGATTTATGTAGTAGCATTGCATCGCCGCGTACAAATCAGTTCTCCGGGACCGGATGGTCTGCCGCTTCAACGCCCGCATGCCAGCGATATTTTGCAGCTGGATGATCAGCCGGCGGGCCGCTCTGCCCTTCCTTGCCGTAGATGTTTTCGCGGTACGTTCCCTTCTTGACAGTGTAGTCATCCCAGAAGAGGCCTCTCTTACGGAGTTCAGGGATCAGCAAGTCAATGATATCCTTGAAGGAGCCGGGTTTGATAGCATATGCCTGGACCTGTTAGCCAAATACACACTTTAACCATCTCCAGCAACATACCAAATTAAACCCATCCACATCCGCCTCATTCACCCACCGTTCCATCTGATCCGCCACCTGCTGCGGCGTTCCCACCGGCGTAGCACCCAATCCACCAACCGTGATATGTTGACCCACAGTAGCCTTGGTCCACTTCTCAACCTCCGGGGTAGCCTTAGACCAACCCTCAACAGCAGACCTATCACACAATCAGCACTTTTCCCACCCATCACCAAACACAAGAAGAACATACCGAATTGCATTACTCTCCACATGCCTCAACTCCTCATCCTCACCATACCGATCGAGATCAATCCCCGTCCAGCCCCCAAACAGCGCCAACGCACCATCAATCGACCCGAGACTCCTAAAATACCTAAACTTCTCCTGTGCCTCCTCCTCCGTCCTCCCGAGCACCGGACACAACAGCGCCAGGAACTTAATCCCCGCAGGGTCTCGTCCAAACTGCGTCTTCGCCGTCTCCCGGATTTCCGCAATATTCTTCGCCACCACGGACGGACTATGTCCCGCCACGAAGATCGCCTCGGCATGCTGTGCTGCGAAAGCCTTCCCGGCTTTGGATGTCCCCGCTTGGAGGATCACGGGTGTGCGTTGCGGGCTGGGTTGGCAGATGTGCGGGCCGGGGACGGTGAAGTATTTGCCGGTGTGGTTGATTTCGCGGACTCGGGTTGGGTCTGTGTAGATTCCACGGGTGCGGTCGAGCACGACGGCGTCGGAGCGCCAGGAGGATTCCCAGAGTTTGTAGGTTACTTTGATGTATTCTTCGGCTTGGGCGTAGCGGTCGTCGTGCTGTGGGTGGTTAGTGTTGATTGGGGCCATGTGGGAGTTGAGTAAGGGTTGGGGTAGGGTACCTGGGGTTGTTGGGTGTGGCCTAGGTTACGGGCTGCGGAGTCGAGGTAGCCCGTTACGATCTGGGCTGGTTAGTTAGGTGATTGTTATTAGTTCGGTGGGTGGTGCTTACGTTCCAGCCTATCCTGGTTTTGATGTTAGTTTTGGTAGTGACGACGAGGGTCGTGAAGAGTGACTTACCGTCCCTTAGTGAGATGATCAATAGTAGAGAGCCGACGTGCAAGATGATATGGCTGCTCATATGTCGTTGTGACAGTCACTCCAAAGCCGATATTTTGTGTTGCCGCCGCCATAGCAGGTACGACAGCTAATGGCTCGTTAACGGGCCATTGCGCGCCAGATACAATGGCTGGTTCGAGGTTGCGGGGGCCTTTGTACACGTCGTAGCCGCCTGGGGAGGTTACTATCTATGTATATCATAGAGGTATTTGGGGATAAGAGCTACCTAGGACATCTGCGATGAAGATGCCGTGGAACTTGGCGGATTCTAGAAGCTTTGCGAGCTCAATCCAGTGGTCGATGTCGTTGAATCGGTGCGATTCGTCTTCTGGGTGTCGCCACAGCCCTGGGGACTGGTGGCCACTACCTGGGGGGTGTCAGCGATTGAAGAAGAATTAATTTGGGAGTGCGTACACATTTCAACGAATGCATTGAGGATTAACTGTTTGCGGGGTCGAGATGTAGCGTTGTCGGTAGCCATTGCGGAGGGTAGATAGGAGGTGAGGTTAGTGACGGAGAGGCGCTGGCTTAGGCTTTTCGAACCGGCAAAGGCTGAGTCTTCGATATGAAATATAAGAAAAGAAGGCCAGTCAATTATAGAAATACTGTTCAGAGATCAACTGCGGATAAGTATGGACCATAAGTGTGCAATTCAGACCTCGCTGGAGGGGATGTTCAGTAGCATCACAGTGGGCCGGGATGACGTGATGGGGAGATGAGGGGTCGCCCACTTACAGGGATCACATATTCAATACAACCCCAAATAAGAGCAAGGATCTGTCTGAATCTCTTTATCTGAAATCTGGACACAACAATTTCTGGTCGAGAATTACATGTACTCGGTAGTTGGTCGAAAACTTGGCACAAGCCACCTCGGGCTCCCGGAGCATCCACCCCTGCCCTATCTTTGGTCCTCTTCCGCCAACTATGGTCCCTGTCACGCAATAACTTAACTTTATTGACCTTACGCTATACGGAAAATCATGCACGTATATCGGCCGAATAACTTTAAATCCAGATATATTACCCCCAGGATCCTGGAACCCGGTCAAAGCACCTCATATGCATAGGCCATCGTATCATCGGGGAACACGATGTTCGCAGTAGCATACAATGATCGGCGGATAGCGTGATAGTAGCAATAATGTCTGCTGTGATGTAGATCTTAAAGGTACATTTGTCGGGGTGCGTCCACATAGTCAGCCTTGACTTGCTGCCGCTGTTGAGTGCTGCATTGTTTAGCCACTGGAGTATCTTGACAGGATGTCGGAAATTCAAGGTCGCGCAGCAGGGGCATCTGTGCAGCCGCCACTGTCTCAGGCTGTTGGATATGTTATTGTCGTGGTGCTAGGGCTCATCATCGCCGGTGGTATGTTCACCGAAGTTAGACGAGGATTGCAGCTGACAAAACAGTGATGATGGTTATCACCAAAATACTCAAGAAAACAACAGGCGAGGACAACAAGAAAACCGAGATGTATGTCCGATTACAGTGATGGTATTTTACCTGCTAATCCTTCAGGTTCATGACTGCCAATCGCACCGTTCGAACCGGCTTAACAGCATCCGCAGTAATATCAGTACGAGTTTACCCTCGGTAGCGATTTATCCCTTACTAAGTAAACAGTCCTGGTTATGGACAACAGCAATGCTAGGAGCATCGTTTGTGGGGTATGACTATGGCGTGGCTGGTCCCTTCTGGTTTGCCGCAGGCTGCAGTCCGATGATTGTCTTTTTTGCCTTGATCGGGATATCCTGCAAGAGAAAGATTCCGGATGCGCATACATCCCTCGAAGTGGTCCGAATCCGATATGGTATGATGCAGAGGATTTATGCTTAATGCCTTGATGCTGATGCGTTCAGGTCGCATTGCACACGCGGTCTTCATGACCCTGTGTTTGATCAACAACGTCTTTGCCTGCGCTAACATGCTTCTGGGTGCTGCTGCGGTTATAACAGCCATGTGAGTGCTTCACCGGATTTTCGAATCTTACTGACTCTATAGAACTGGGATGCACATTATTGCTGCGACGTTCCTGTTGCCTGTTGGCGTTACCGTATACACCTTCGTTGGCGGCATCAAAGCAACGTAAGTGCCTAGCTGAATGAAGAGTACGCCATGCTTACCGGGATAAGATTCCTTACCGACTACTTCCATACGGCGATCATTCTTATTATTGCATGCTATCTCTCTATCAAAGCGTTTACCTTCGAAGAGGTTGGCTCGTTCGGAAAATTATATGAGCTCGTGCAAGCCGCTGCGCAGCGCCATCCTGTGTCTGGAAATCAAGATGGGACATACTTGACCATGACCTCGAAGGGCGTACGTACTATAGTCCATGTTGTTGTCTCTGCTAACAAGCCCAGGCTATCCTGTTCGGGATTCTTCATATTTGCTCCAACTTCGGCCTAGTGATTGTAAGTATAAACACACCAGTCTCAGGAATGACTAACACTTCTGCCAGATGGATACTAGCTATTTCATAAAAGCATTCTCCGCTGCTCCCTCCTCTGTAGTACCGGGCTACACAATCGGTGGGATTGCTTACTTTGCCATTCCCTGGGCTCTAGGTACCATCATGAGCTCTCTTGCCCTAGGCCTCGAGAATACGTCTTCCTTTCCAACGTATCCCCGCGTAGGTCCTGTCCACCTTTGATCGTCGAAGATACTAATCCATGCAGCGCATGACCTCCACGGAAGTCAGCAATGGCCTGGTCCTTCCATACGCAGCCATGACTATTGCTGGGAAAGGCGGGGCGGCGGCAGTCCTTCTTATCACCTTTATGGCAGTGACTTCGACCCTCTCTGCCCAAGTCATCGCCGTCAGCTCTATCCTAAGCTTTGATGTATACCGAGAATATATCAACAAGGCAGCATCAGACAGAGACATTATCCGTGCAAGTCACTTTGGTGTCATTTTCTTTGCTGCGTTTTCTGCCGGATTCAGCACTATGCTCCATTACGTCGGTATTGATCTGGGCTGGACATTATATATGCTCGGTAAGGCTCCACTTCAATTGCCGTGGGTGCAAATACTCATGAAAATAGGTGTGGTAACCTGTCCTGGAATCTTTCCTATGGCGTTCACGATCCTTTGGCGCCGACAGAGCAGAGCAGCCGCTATTCTGGCTCCAATTCTGGGGATGGCGACCGGCATCGGGGTGTGGCTTGGCACAGCGCAGCACTTTTACGGTGCAGTATCTGTCAGTTCAACGGGACAGATTCTACCTTGTGTATATGGAACTGTAGCGTCTGCTTTCTCGCCCATAGTATACTCTGTTGTGATCACCCTAGTAAAGCCTCAGAGATATGACTGGGCGGAATTCCGCAAGGAAAAGCTAGGACTCGAGCGACTGGATAGTGATAGCGATATCACGGTGAACGGCCCAGGTAATGAGGCGCAGCAAACTCGATCCTCGTTTGATTCCCAGGAATTGAAGAGATGGGGGCGCATTGCTGCATTTTGGTCGATTGCAACTTTCTTGGGCCACTGGGTGTTGTGGCCACTGCCGATGTACGGATCGAAATATGTTTTTGGGAAGGGAGTAAGTATTTTTCACCACTACTCACGTATGATGATCGGTGAAGTGCTAACAAAATGTCAGTTCTTCACTGCTTGGGTCGTTGTGGGAATTATTTGGTTGTGGATCACAATGCTCGTGGCGATATTCTATCCCCTTATCGATGGGGGAGTGCAGCAGATGATGCAAATATCTCGAGGGCTGCGTGAAAGGAAGAACGCAGTCACGTCCTCATCAGTGCCATCAGTGACCAATGATTGTCCCGAGGTGTTCAGAGTGAATGAGAAGTCTTGATCATTGTGTCATTTTGTGGAACATTCCGAGTTACAGGGGGATGTCTATGGATCCTGCCTACGCACGATCGGCAGAAATAATGAATGTTAAGTGGTGACGCTATTTTAGCGCGTGTAAATGTCTATAAGAGACCGCTGTCGTTTGTCGTTCAGTTTCAAGAACTTCATCACTACTATCATCGAGTCGGTTGCTTGTCTATATATATATTGGCCCTTTAATATATCATATCCATGTTATCCTATGTTACACATTTCCTCACGCAGCAATTATCTACACAGAAGGATTGCTTGGGCTGTCAGTGCTGGATAGACAGATTGATCTCTCAGTCGAGAAAATCATGGTTCTGCTTTGCGGTGTCTGCAAATCAGGTCTCTCAGGGACATCAGTCGAAATTGGGACTGAACTTGCTTACTCAGCTAGGGTACTTGATTATTTGAGACATCCAGTCACTGTAACAAGGCACCTATCAGATCCTCCGTCGTATCTGCTATCTATGTGGATTTTCCTACTGGTATTTGTCCCGAGGCTGCACTTTTGGGAATCTAGACGGATCTTGGATATAAAAAAGCCTTCCTTCGACTTCTACAGGTATTGTCCAGCTCCGGAACTTGGCTACATACTTAAATGATGGCTGCGACATTGCCACTCGAGCTGCTCCAATTGATTGGAGACAGTCTGCAGAAGGAAGGAGTGCCTCTATTCCCCTGTACCACTGTTTGCCGCTGGTGGAAGGAGGCTTTTGAGCCTTTCATTTATTCTCGGGTTGTGGTTTGTAGTACGCATGCCAATGAGAAAGCACCGGTGTCCGGAATACCTATTGATGTTTTTGAGGACATCACTTCACACGCTGGAGCCGCCCGTCGCATGATGATTCGGGCAATTGAGTATCGGGTATGTGTTCCGTATAAGCATGAAAACTGGTCTGGCTACATGTATAGCCACTATGACCCAGCAAAACCATTTGGACGAATAATGAACCAAGCCTTCCGATCCGCAATCCTTGAGATCTTCCGTGTGCTCAGTGCGTGGCCCCGGTCCAGCTGTCTCTCTTTCGACGTGGGAATAGTGGGTTTCAGGCTGGTGACCGAAGTGAATGAACCGTCAAGTTCGCACCAATCAGCCTCCATGCTACCAAATATTTTTACCTGGATAAGATCTTCTTTGCGGGCCTTTGCAACCCATATGACAGACTTGGGGACCACCAGATTTACGCCGAGATAATCTACGACATTGTAAAGCATAGCCCGTACATCACGGAGTTGCGTATGAATCTGGGTTATCTGCAAAGGCCGGAGGAACTGGAGTATTTGCGTGCCAGACGCTTAGGTATGAAGAAGTATCTTGTCTATTGAACCCCCATCTTTTCGTTTTCAGCATTATACAGAATCATCGGATTGTTCACTTACTAATTTCTTGTTCTTTGGCAAACCAGGTGTGCCTCGTGGATCTACCATTTTACCCCGCAGTCTAAAGGTCTTCCACCTCAGAAACGAGACTGAAACACCGGGAAGAACTGTCATGCCTCTTGTGAAGGCATTGACTTCGGAGGCACAGTGTCGCTACAACTATTAGGAATTCTAGTGCAAGTATTCGTGATTTGAAGTTGGAAAATACCGCGCTAATGTTAGATTTCCTTTGCCCCCTCAACAAAGAAGGGCAGCCTATTCTTCCCGTCGTGTACTGGCCACACTTGGAGACTATATCATTACACAACGTCACTTGCTGGACTGATGAAGGTACGACTTGAGAGGGACATATATATGATTATATATTTGTGGAGAAGCTAAGATTTTACGGATCAGGGAACTGGCTCACTCTTCCAACCGAAGAAGCCGAAGCTCGGATCGCTACTGTACAGCAATGGGAACAAGGCCATGATCATTCAGACGATAGTCATCTATCGCAGCCTGTCATTGAAATCGAGAATTTTCAACGATTTTTCATCTCTATGGGCCTAGCAGTCCAACATATGCCCCGCCTATCATCCGACTACTTCCACCCTGGTGCGGAGACCGAGTTGACTTTTGGATTTCAAGTCATCACCGGCAGGTACGCAATTGCCACCTGGTCCTCCAGACCAACTTATCGACCGGATCACAGAGTCGCCAGTGCATGGGGTTTCAGCGAGGAGGACCTGAGACATGCAGCGCTCGGGGAGATGGTATATTCCGTACGGTTTATGACCCACATGGTGTAATGGTAACCATACTAGTCGACACTGAGTATGCATCTAATGGTAGAGGACCCTATTGATGTCTACTGCCAAATTGTATTGGGCTTGAATCATGTGGCTACTACAACTGAATACAACAGAGGAGGGATAATTGGCTAGATGCCCACTGCCAGGAATAATTCAAGACGGCCATAGAACGTAGTTCTTATTCACGTCTTTCTCCACCGTTGTCCGTCTGCTGAATATGGTGTAAAGCTTCTGCAGTCTTCAATGACTTATGTGCTGTGGCGCTGTGGACAAAATTCTGAAATTCTATAGTGACCTATCAATATAAAGAGGTACTGCCCTGTTTCCTAGTCATTGAAGGTCTGCAGAGCTACCCAGCGACACACCAGACGCTCGAGCGGCCCGTACTAGAATTATTTCGAATACAAGCAGATCCAACCAATTACTGTACCGTACCATGCAGTTGGAGTAATGTACCTATAACACATTGAATTTGACCCTAATGTGTGAGCATGTCGCTCCACAGCCCCCAAGATATGCTGCCTAGATTTACAAAGCAATTTATAACTGTCGAGAGGGTATCATCGTCACATAACCATAAACAAAAGTATTCCGATGGTATACATTTCGATTCCATCAACTCACACTAGCTCACACCAACTCACACCGATTAGGATTGGATACATAGCTTCCGCATTGGCCGACACGGAGTATGTTACAAGATATCACATTGTACGCAAGACTAAGATGCGGAAGTGAATTATATTCCGATCTGTGAGGCACCTCTCTTAAAAGTTGCTCTAGTCCTCCCTACAACTCACCTAATTACAAAATGTTGTTGAACTCATCACAAGTTTGTCCTTCCTTAATCCATCGAGAAAAACCTGTTTCTCACTCTGCCGAGAACGGATGGATTTCCGTCTCACAACGCGTCCCCTCAGGAGGCAACTCTCCCGTGCGAAAGTATGTCTTGATATGATGGGCGGTGCACACCGAACGGGAAGCATACGAGCAATGCTACAGCGAATGTCAATAAATCGAAGAGAATACATGAGGGAAATCGGGATGAACATACACCTTCAGCTTGCTGCTCCAGCACCACGGACCCTTTGAACAAGGCGGACATAGCATGGACGCTACAAAGACTGTTAGCATATCCTAACCAAAGATGATTGTTACTTGGAACATACTCGGCAAGTGGAGTCACTGGATCCAGAGTATTGCTGACAAAAAGAATGGGCATAGACGTATTCTGAACACCGATAGGCCCTTCACGAAAATTAGCATGCGTCTAAGCCAACAGCAAGATGGATGGTGTAGTGAGCATACCATTAAAAGAACCTGGTCCCCGACCCTTCCAACTAGCACATGGCATATAGAAATCTGCAAATGTATCTTTAATCCAGTAGCTGCTCTCCATTACTGGCTGGAGGTATAGCTCTGAATACTCCTCTTGCGTGATATTGAGTAATTTCCGATTCAGATCCAGACACGCAATACCCTCCGTGAGTTCAATTCGAGAGCCATATTGGCAGGCTTCACGGCATGGAGCAGAAGATTGGCATGCAGAATCGAGACAATGAGCGGGCTGTGTTTCCTCCCGTAGAGCAGCTTTCCATGCTGCCATGCTGCTTGCGTTGCCCTGTTCAAGGTCTGATAAGATCGTAGCAAGAATAGGGAATAAATCATTCGGGGCATAAAGGGCGGTTTTGAGCAAAGTTTTGACATCGGAGTATGTAATGATCTCAGGGCTGGGTTGACTAGTCCAGAGTGGAGTGGCTTTCAGGTCTGCTAGGATGTCAGTAAGGCGCTCTTGAAGACAACTTATCGCTTCTGCCTCGTCTTCATCGGGAGGCAATGCAGCAAATGCACATCGGAGATAGCCGGCCCGGTGGCAATAGCGGAAAAAATTGTCTACTATGAGATCTGCATCGCGGAACGAAGTAGAGAGATGTCCTGAATACCAGCCTAGTGCGTCTACCACTCCGTCCAATACCATGCGATGAACTTGGTTTGGGAAGAGACTGGCATAGGTAATCCCTAGAAGAGTCCCATACGAGTACCCCCAGTATTGTAGCATTGCATTGGGGCTAGAATCTGGCTGTAGTAACTGGGAAAGATGGCGCAGGTCATGTGCTGTGCTCCAGGTATTCATGTAGGGACCAATATCAGCACTACCCTTCGCGGTATCCGTACATGCGGTGCCAATAGCCTGCATGCGAGTCCAAAGATAGTCTTCTGCATGCTCAGAGCTACCAACTAGACCTTCGACCTGTACAGCCTCCTTCCAGAGATAGCTGGACAGAAGATCCGGGAAGCATGACAGAGGGGGCAGGGTGTTCCCGACGCCTCGAGGATCAAACGAAACGATATCGAAATACCGCTCTTCCTTGCCAGAGCTCTCGACGATGTTCTGAATTTCTTTTCCGCGGTTGAGGATCTCTTGCACTCCTGAATCACCGGGGCCACCTTTTTGAAAGTGAGTAATCATGACATAATGTTTTCAAGCTATCTGATGTTGTAGGAGAAGTGTGTACCTGGATTGATTATGATGGAGCCACCGTAGCGTTTGTCACTATGGTCAACCTTCGTGGAGAGCTTGATTATTGCCAAAATGACGGTATCATTGTCAGTGGTATCGGACCAATCTAAGGGAACCTCAAGACGCGCGCAGGAATAGTTCTGGTAGCAGGGTACGAAGTTGAGGGTGGACGCTGGAGCCGTCTGGTAAGACATTTTAGAAAACGGAGGATATCAAGATATGGAGAGAGTATGCATACGCTATTCCAGGAGAAATTCCCAACTTGAGCCGTGGCTGACGACATTGTAGGGGATGGCGTCGTGAATGGAACTAGAGATGAGAAATGAAGGAGGCGAGGGCGCAGACGGCCTATTTTATACCTGGAACTGTGGCTGAGGTGACAACTTTGGGAATGATCATCCCTTAAAGAGCATTAAAGTAGGTATTTATATTTTTTTTATTTTTTTTGGGAAGCCTACCATGCGTCACGACAGGAACATCACTTATGCTGGAACCTGAATGCTTACTGCTATTCGAGATCAGAAACCCGGTAGTACAATCCCTGAGCGGAGGAACTAGCCGCTGCGGCCTTGATCAACGGATGCGCCCGGTACGCCGTTGATCTTACCCCCGGAGATATCCTTCATCATCCCCAAGTGTCTACAAAGTGGCAACATGCTCAAGGTTGCCTCAGATTGACCCAAGAAGGATGAAAGAAAGCATCACATACTACTTTCTATATGAAAGGGTTGCCCACAATACTTCCCTGAATTCAAATTTGGGGGAGGCAGCCCAGCGGACGACACGAGCCACCAGCATCGAAGCAACGCCGATTGTCTCCAGCTGTCCTGTGATTACTCTAGGCATAAAGAACCGTAGCTCCATAAATTCGCTATCTGAGGCGATCATGCATGAAGGAAGATATATGCCAGGATATTGGACTATATTTCTTTGATACAGTGGCTGCTCGGCTTTGTCTTTCTTTATGTTTGTCCTTGAACTATTGCAATACTAGTCCATTTCATGTCAGGTATTGATCCCTGTAAGCACACCGCATATACACCCTAGCGCTTAAGAAGCTGAAGGTTATCAGGGCATATCATGCTACCGGCAAAAATGCCGAAAGATTGACCCAAGGCCTACCATATGCAGCGAGCCGCTGAGATAGTAGTTCAAAACCAAATGAAAAGCTATTTAAAGACAGACTATACAGTTTAGACCCAACCTGCTGCCTAAACCAACCCAGCCTCCTGCTTGACCGCCTCCAACCAGAATAAGTCATCGGCGTACGTCTGATTCCACGGATCATCACTCTCATACGCGAACAGCCTCGCCCGATCTTGAATCATTTGATCCGACGGCCTGCATCCGTTGGCCATCTGCCTGCGAATGAACTCCAACAGATCGCGATGAACATCAAAATACCGATCCAAAGCAGTCGGCACATCCCACCGAAAAGGGATCTCATCGTCCTCTTCATCCTCCTCCCTCGGCATAGGAAGCACATCTGACGTCCTCCACGGATCAGGCGTCTGTGCTTCACTCCCAACTAGATACGGCGGTATCGCATTCTCAACGAGCCGCTGCACTTCCGGCTCGAATCCCCAGTCGCCCATCCACTGCTTCATGTCCGCCCCGTGCTTGAAATGCTCTGCGACATGGTCGACCCTCTCCTGCCAGGATTGGAATGTTGCACTACAGAATCCGCAGCGGGAGAGAATGTGGTGGCTTCGGCTTTCTCGCCAGGTGTTCATTGCTGCGTGGAAGGTGTCGACGCGGTGGGTTAATTTCAGGTGCTGCCGGAGGTTGTCCTTCCGGGTGAAGATGCGCTGCTCGGGTGGTTTCTCGAGACAGATGCTGTAGTTGTGCACTATTTCGAGATGCTCGTCGGTTACATTGGTTTCCTGGCAGAAGATGCACGTGGGTGTGCCGTTGTTGTCGATGAGTCCGCCTTCAGGGGAACAACGCCATTGGTCGACTGGAAGATGAAGGGCTTTTTCATGGCGCTGCCAGTCGTATTTCGTTGCGAATGTGTCCGCGCAGAATGTACACTGGTAGGGCCGACGAGTCCACTGGAGGCGATTTGCATGGCGGATGTGTTTCCGACGATGACGACGAGATTGTGGGCGATGGAGTGGAGTTGGTGGGCGCTGGGGAGGCCTGTGCGATGATAGGGCGACTGATATCTCGGAGCTAGATGACTGGCTGCGAGCGCAACTGCTGATGGAAGCATCCCCCTGGATGAAGGAGCCACTGGAGTCATTGCTTGACCAGGCGTACTGGGGAACGGTGTATGGCGAGCTGTCTGATAAGGCAGAGATATCGCTATCGGCGAGAGCTCGCAAGATGTCGTCCGTGGCTGCGGCCTCACTTTCTGGTGGCGAGCTCCTCCAACGTTCCATGGGGGATAGAAATGACGGGCTCTGACGGGCAGACATATACCCTCTGGAGCGCTTACGCCGTCGAGCGTTAATGAACCAGTTGGAGACTTGCGCCCGAGTCAGGCCGGTGCGTTGCGCCAACTCATCCTTCTCCTGTGTCGTGGGATACGGGTTCTCCGGGTGGTTGTTGAGCCATGACCTGAGAGCTCTCACAGCCTCCCCGGATAGACGCTGATGGGGACGGGCAGGAGGGGTAGGCCCGCTACCTGGAGATACTGATGTCGCATCTTCCTGGGATGCAAGCGGAGAGAAGCTGTCAGGAAGCTCCGACGGTAGCGAGAAGATGGGATCTACGCTAGCGGGGTATAAAACAGGGTCTTCATCGTACAACGGTGGCAGGGATAAGATATCATCACATAATTTAGGGAGCGCCTGGTGAGCGTGCTCCATCTGGATAATGTGCGGACATGCTCACCAGAGTACGGACCTAGATCGATGTGAAGTTGAGGTTGCAAGCGGACAAAATCCTCTGCGCCCTGCCATTGACATCCGCTCCACTTGCCGGCTGTCGGCCGCCTTCCATGGATCTTCTTATTCGTCGCTTGTCCCGACTGTAGCCGAGATCGGAGGGCGATAGTTAGGTAACTTAATCATAAAGTTTGTACGGAGTCTTAGATGCAATTAGATTGACTCACTCAACTGCACTGTAGGTTTCATCTTGGCAGTTAGGGTTCTCACCCTACTAGCGTTTATTCTAACCTCTTCTTCGATCCGTAGACATCCATAGCAATCGCGTCACCTACATAATCAATTCATTATGACTTCCACGTCAACCACCACTGCCGTCGAATGGCAGCAGGGTCCCCCGATTGAGCTTGAGTCGAGGGCTCCCAAAAATGCCGTCGCTCCAGTCTCTGACCCCACTGATGAGGTCATGGAGGCCTCCCGTCTGGCCGACGCCGAAGTTCCTGAAGGAGGAGCAGGATGGATAGTTATCGCAGGTTGTGCAGTAATTACCTGGTGGTTTATCGGGACGTCCTACTGCTGGGGTGTGCTACAGGCAGCGCTGGTTAAGGAAGGAGTGTCATCTGCATCTACTCTGTCTTTCGTGGGCTCATTAGCACCAGCGTGCATCTCGTTTCTGGGAATCCTGAATGCTCGCGTGATCCGCAAACTAGGTACCAGGACGTCGGCACTGCTGGGTATTTTCCTACTCGGATTGGGAGAGATCCTTAGCGGATTCGCCGTCCACGAGGTTGGCGGACTGTTTGTTACATCCGGTGTGGTGATGGGACTCGGAACTAGGTACGCACCCGTACTACTACTGATTGTACTATGCTAATGAAGTAGTATCTCTTTCATGGTGGTCTCAATCACACCCGCACAATACTTCAAGGCAAAGCGCGGCATTGCCAACGGTATCGTCTATGCAGCTGGTGGCCTGGGCGGTGCCGCCATCAGTTTCATCCTAGATGCCCTGCTATCCCGTGTCGGCACTGCTTGGACGTTCCGTATTTTGGGATTTATCACGATGGGCACTGGTCTCCCTGCAGCTTTCCTAGTGAAGCAGCGGATCCCAATTCCCCCGTCTGCTTTCGTGGAGTGGTAAGGACATCCATACCCTCACAAATACATCACGCCGGACTGACTCCCAACCCACTAGGCGTCTATTCCGTGACATCCGATTCCTGCTCCTCTTCGCAGCCGGAGCCATCGCCACGTTCCCACTGCTCGTTCCACCCTTCTTCCTGCCCCTGTACACCGACTCTCTGGGATTAGGATCAGCCGCAGGCGCTGGTGTCGTAGCAGCGTTCAACTTCTCCTCCGCTTTAGGAAGACTGACCTGTGGATTTGCCAGCGATACCATCGGCGGACTCAACACGCTGTTTGTCTCGCTGTTACTCAGCGCCCTGAGTATGCTGATCATCTGGCCTGTCTCAACGTCCATTGGACCGTTGGTCGTGTTCGTGATCATCAACGGGATGGCGAATGGGGGGTTCTTCTCTACTATTCCTACGGTTGTGGGGAACGTGTTTGGGTCTGCCAGGGTGTCTGTTGCCATGGGTATGATTGTTACTAGTTGGGCCGGCGGGTATCTTCTGGTGAGCGCAGTGCTGTTAATATGCCTTAACATTGGGATGCTAATTGTGATATGTAGGGCTCCCCAATTGCGGGCTACATTCTTGATGCCTCGGGTGGCGAGGATGCCGGGATCAAGGCGTACAGACCGGCAATTCTGTATGCGGGTTTCATGGCTTTAGGAGCGGCGATTCTGGCTGCTTTTATACGTTTGAAGACGGATACGCGGCTGCTTAAGAAGGTGTAGCTTACATTTGAACCAGAATCGACATAGGATGCTCTATGAATTGAATCGTACTAATGTTCTCTTGGGGAAAGGGGATATGGTTATATAAAGTAGTAGTACTGTAGGCGGGAGGGGCGACATACCCTGGCGAGACGGGAATTGAAGATAACTGCGAGTGCGGGTCCCAACAGTATCGAGACGCAATACCTTAATGAACCAAGTTTTACTATTGGTACTCCCGACCGGTACACCCGACTGCAAAGCTGAGTGCAAGGTGTCGTCTGCCCGTATCATCTACCAACGAACCCACCCCCACTACCACAGGTCCCTTAACCCCAGAGTACCACCAAGCAAACAAAGCAGCAAAGTAATCAAAATAAAATGTGACAATAACCCCCCGACCAATAAGCCACAATAACAAAGTGCACAAGTTACAACCCCAGGAATGCGACGTTGCCGGATCCGGCCGAAACACCCACCCTCATCCACACCCAAACTACTGCCTATTGGCTCAAATTCAACCCCAGATCCAGTGTGACCTGACACTGCATCACAAATCTCGAGATTAATGGTAGATTCAACCCTATTGGTGCGTTCCTGGATGGTTTGTTAGGTGGGGTCCGTTTCTATGGAAGCATGAGATGCCACATTCCGATGCGGGAATGGGAATGTAGCGTAGATGGGAATCACCGATCAACACAACTCAATCTTCCTTCCTTTCCCTTTCCACTTCGCTGCCGCTCAGTGAGCAGAGCAGATCTGATTCACCACCATCATCACCATGTTGCTGCGAATATGGCACATCCTGTATACCTTCATTGTAGTCGTGCAGGCCATTGACTACGATGTGGACGACCCCGGTATCACTCCCTCCATAACCCTCCAGCCCGCAAATCCTGATCAACTAATTTGAATAGACTCCATCAAAGCAGCCTGCCACTCCATCGCCCGCCAAATGCTAACCCACTACACGGGCAACCAACCCGGCGACAACCCAGGCAACCTCCCAGACCCCTATTACTGGTGGGAAGCCGGCGCCATGTTCACAGCCCTCGTGGAATACTGGTACCTGACCTCCGACGACACATGGAACAACATAACAACCCAAGGAATAACCTGGCAAGCCGGGCCCAGTGGCTCCTTCATGCCCGCCAACCAAACCCGCACCGAAGGCAACGACGACCAATCCTTCTGGGCGTTTGCCGCGATGTCCGCCGCAGAGCGAAACTTCCCCGACCCTCCACCCTCCTCAGGAAGTCCAGGGTGGCTGGCAATGGCGCAAGCCGTATTCAACACGCAAGCCGCGCGCTGGGACACGAGCACTTGTAACGGTGGACTACGGTGGCAGATATTTACGTTTAATAACGGTTGGACGTATAAGAATACCATTTCCAATGGGTGTTTTTTTAACCTTGCGGCCAGGCTGGCGAAGTATACGGGGAATAGCACGTATGCGGACTGGGCGGATACAGTGTGGGATTGGACGGGCGAGGTAGGGTTCATGACGGATACGTATCGATTTTGGGATGGCGCGGATGTGAGCAGTGGGTGTGGGGATTGGAATTATATTGAGTGGACGTATAATACGGGGGTTTATTTGTTGGGGGCTGCTGTTATGTATAACTTAGTAGGTTACCCTTCGGTTCTGTGGTGTTTGGGGTGTGAGATTGGTGCTAATGACATGGCAGACTGAATCGCCTGTCTGGAAAGCTAGGACAGAAGGGATCCTCAACGCCAGCTTCGTCTTCTTCCAGGATGATGTCATGTACGAGCGGGCATGCGAGCCCGTCAACACATGCCAGGTCGATCAGCGATCCTTTAAGGGGTACCTTGCGCGGTGGATGGCTGCGACAACGCAGATGGCGCCGTTCACGTATGACCTGGTTATGCCGAAGCTGCGGGCCTCGGCCAAGGCAGCGGCGGAGACGTGCACGGGAGGTGAGCTTCAGGCGACATGCGGGCTGAAGTGGACGGATCGGAAGTGGGATGGAATGGATGACGTGGGGATACAGATGGCGGCGTTGGAGGTGATGCAGTCGACATTGATCAGTCGAGTTGATCCTCCTGTGACGCAGGATACGGGAGGTACGAGTAAGGGCAATCCGGCAGGAGGAGAGCCGGGACCCGCGCCGGCGCCAGTGCCAGAGGGGTTGAGGCTGGAAATCACGAAGGCGGATAGGGCGGGGGCAGGGATGATGACGGTGATGCTTTCGATGATTGTTATTGGATCTACGGGGTGGATGGTTTACGAGTGATGGGTGGGATCTTTTGAATTTCATTATGTACATGTTCATATTGTCATTCTTTATGGTAACTATGCTGGTCACAGAATTACTTTCCTACAGGAATGTACTCGTTGATACCTTGAACTGTCCACAGAGCAGGGTGCTTGTCTCTCGCGCTCTCCATACCAAATAACATGTTGTCCAGTGCTTTCGTATGTCCCTTCTCGTAGCCTCTGATGCGGAGGTACTCCAGTTGCAACGGCAAATGATCCACCAGGACGATATCACCTAACTCACCCATCCGAGTAGCGAGATACCACAGACAACTCACTCCCAGGCTCAAGCTCTTCAACGACACAAACTCCTTCAGCACACTTTCATCCTCAGCATCCTCCCGCACCTCACTTCCACCAGCAGCGACAAAATGAGACAAATGGTCATCAAACTCCAAATCCAACACCTCCAACGTGGCCCTGTGGCGCAAGACAGCCTTGATCAAACTGTACCGGTCAAAGAACTCCGCAAAGCCCGCATAGCAGCCACCGTGCACAACGGAGTACTTCAGCTCCTTCAAGCACCTCATTGCATGAATAACTTTGCATAACAAATCCGACTTGAAATCGCACCCTCTCAGATCCAAACGCGAGATACTCGCCGATGAAGGCAGAAGCAAGCCTTCCAGCGCAGCACTAGTCGCAGTCCCGAAGCCCTGGATGGCCTGCATTCGTAGCGATTCGATGTTGGGAAGGGTACGCACCAGCTCAATGCAGAGACAGAGGTCCTGGGGCGCGCAGGCGCGGGATCGCGCAATATGAAAACTGGAGGCTTCTGTTGTCAGAATCTGAAAATACTTGAGATGGGCTAAGTACGAGATTCTCTTTTCTCCATTTTTGATGAAATGACCCAAACTAGCGCGTTGAAGGAACTTGGCTAGTGGATACTTTTCAATCTTGGCGGCGGAATGGTGGTTGTCAGAAGGGTCATCAAATCGGGGGGATGTGTATTCCCAGAAGGGAGGAGATATGGCGAGAGAAGTTAGGTTTGGGGATGATGCGATGAGGAGGACTGCCAGGGCTTGAGCGATGAAGGGGGATTTGCCGTGGTAGGCGTCCTCTTGGGTGCTGACTGGGTTAGATATTTCGCGTTTATCAAGAGTAATAGGAAACATACTTGTAGTAAGTGAGGTACTGCCAGGCTTTGGTGTAGTCTGTCTCCTGCATGGCCATGTTGAGTAGTCTCTCCTGTTCAGGACCGATGAAGCCAGCCCGGGTGGCGGCAACACGGAGTCGCTGCATGTCGCCTGGGTCGACGGGGCGATCGTATTCCCGCGGTTTGTAGTTCAGCGGAGAGCGAACAGGAATATCCATTTCGATGTGGCGAACATAACTGGCGAGGTTACGGTCACGCAGAATGTCGAGGAGGATGGTATATGCATGTTTCAGGTCTGGTGTGCAGGTGATGCGGATACAGCGGTATTTGGTTTTGTTTACGAGGTCGTTGCCGTGAATAAGAGTGAACAGTGAGGGACTGAGGAGAGAAAGAGAGTAGACATCTCCGCTGTGATCGAGAAAGGAGATGACATGCAAGAGCACGTCAGCGGGGAGGATGGAGAGGACTGGCATGATTGTGGGGATTGGATAGGAACAGGTGAGGTTGGAATACACTTGCATTACTCGCCGCGGCTGGAGGGGGGACTTTCGGCGGCGGCACATTCGGGTGGTTCCACTCGCACATGAGGGGGACGTGCGAGTGAACTGCAATGGTCTAGGCCCGCCTCTCACCATCTCGCCTGTTCTATTTGGTAGTTTGAAGTTAATCTTCTCACTTTACCATAACAAATAGATCTAGACCTCCTAATATAGGGAAAAGCCCTTTCTGGAGAAATTAAAGTTGGATATCTGAAAGTTTCGTGGTTCCCTCGATTGCTAAATGTCAACACACTCTATGATTGATTCAGTTATCATATAAGGTAGTTAACCCCCTTTCTGATTTTTTCAATCTACCTGGTTAGTATTAACGCCAGCTGGCAGGTTATAAGAGTCAGACTGCAAATAAAAAATCAGCTCTGCGGGCGCTTCCAAGACCGCGTGTACTAGCGTGGTTTTGATTACTAGTCTCGCACCTACACTCACTGGTCAAATTATTAGATATGAAATGTACCACTGGACGTGCCCTTTTCGTGTTATGTTTATAACTAGTACCTATCGGTGTAAGACGCAGATAACAGAAGAAAAACTTAAATATTCTCTGATCGTAGCTGTAGCAAGAGGCCTCATGAGTTATGGGTTTTTTATATAACATTTGCCTGATTCAAAGAAGAAACATGTCCGTAATTACAAATAACTTCCTTAGAATGGAATCGGCAAAGGCTCACCAGATCTTCGATTCACTCGTTATATCTCTAGACATAAAAACATCCAGTAGCTTCTCTTGATGGGTTGAAAAGAAACTAAACCAATAAGCCGTATCTTTTATGACTATTTACACTCATCTAGATCGCTGAGAATAGATATTGTCCATGTAATTCACTAGTTAAGAGTATTTCCGCCTTGCAACTAAGCCTCTCATGTTCTAACCATTCACTTACATCCTACCTATAAGCTCTAATATGAGACATTCAGGTGTGGTCTTCTTGTGGGACCATGGAAATTGAATTCTATTAACAAAGCTACGCAAGACTTGCGCTGCTTCACAGCAGGTGTCTTGATAGCGATATACTAAGCAACCACAAGGCAGGACCTCACTGATGGATGTTAATATGGAAAGTGATACGACAGGTTTTCCTAGCTTCTATTCAACCTCGGGTTTTTATTGCAATGACAGGTGGCGAGACAGACTACAGATTCGCATGAACGCATAATACTATCGGCTCGTCCTTTTATATTCAATGAGGAATGCCACCTAAAAGTCAAGAGCATGATAGAGCAACATCTTCTGGTATTTGCAAAATACTTCCTCTCGTATATGGACTTTAAGTCAAAGTGCGGGTCTATAATTCCTGGTGCTCCAGGACTGCCCTGTATCGGACACCACCCCCTCTGAGTTTCTCGAACGCCTCTTCAAGACCGTCCTTGGTAAGAGGGAAAGTCATAATAGTCGGCTTGATATCATGCCGCGCAGCAAACTCCAATAACTCTTGCAGATTACGCCGCGAAGTGATGAAACATCCCTGAATCCGTATCCCCTTCTGACCGAAGGGAACGAGAGGGATAGGAGTAGGTTCCAGGGTCACAGAAATATGATAGATAGCTCCATTCGTATCAACCAAATCAACTAGACTGCGATGAACATTGGTCAGACACTTCGGGCATATCTAGACGGTAATTGGCATACTTACGAGGCATAATCAACATCGGAGCTCCCACACAATAGAAGATGTTTCACGGGTTTAATGCGGATACACCCCTGAGTACTGGGAAAGCGATGAAACTCTGACGCTCCAAAGTCTAGCGCTTCTTCTTGTTTCCTTTCTGAACCTGAAAATGCCACCACATTGTATCCCAGTGCCGCAGCAAGCTTGATAGCGAGATGGCCAAGCCCACCTATTCCCACGACACCAACGCGATCGGACGGGCGAATTCCATTATTAGTCAAGCAAGCCCAGACCGAAGCGCCAGCACATAGAAGTGGTGCTGCATGAGCCGAATCGTATCCATCTGGAATGGGATAGACGGCATCGGCATTCCAAACAGTTCCGTGGCTAAATGATCCAACATCGAAGTCATGTTGGCCATATGCTCGCTTTTCTCTACAATGATTGTCACAGCCTTACGAGTCCCATATGAATTAGTTTCAAGACTGCATTCAGGATAATGTGGAATAATGATAATACCACTAATACAGTTGTCACATCTTCCACACACGCGACGGATAAAGCCGAATCCAACCCGGTCTCCGACCTTTACACTTGTTACGCTGGAACCGATGTGCTTTACCACACCTACTCCCTCAAGTCCAAGAGCTTGGTGGCTGTGTAGAAAGTGTTCGTCTGTTCCACATAGGCCGGAATGTGTGGTCTCGATGAAGATATCATTGTCGCCAAGTCGCCGAGTAGTCAGCTTCTCCACGATCTTTCCATCAGGCGATCCGCACAGAACTTTGAATTTGAATTCCATTGCGGCCGCGTAGGATTTGTTGTTATTGCGTGTATAAGCTTTCAAATGAAAGGTGACAGGAGAGCGGGGCTTGGAAGGGTTCCCGGAGACAACAATTTATGCGATGGCTTAACAATGGCAACCTAGTTCTTACTTGCTATATGGACCAAGGCGGTGTGGGCTACTTTCTTAAAGCTGTGGAATTGTCGCAGTCCCTACTAATGGCGTTTTCTGGCTTATTCTGGTCGACCGCATATGCTAGTATCCCTTTTTGTCTTTTAGGTTCAAGAGAGCAGCGAGAGAGCAGCAAGGGCGCATTTAAATTTAGATTAGATACTGTACTTTGAGTTACAATACCTTCAGAGAGTATGAATGCAGAATATGTAGATGACTAGGGCGGAAGGAAATCATGTAGGAGTGTCAAAATTTACACCCTTTCGATGGTGTCGTAGTTGAGCTTCCATTTCTCTGGCACCCCTAGGTTGCCTACCTCAGATCTATGCTCATTTTGTTTGTGCTACACCGTTACCATATGCTAAACCTCCTCATCTCACCAGCCTAGTGTATCCCCTTGTTCTTACAAATATCGAACGATCGTGTTTTACAATGACGGACTATCTAGGATAGAAGATCATTGCCATTCTAAATCAAAGGGAAAAGAACACGTGTTCGAACGTGGTTGTCCTGTGACATGAGTATTGACGCATGGAATGAGTCAAGCAGTGAGGAGGCCGTATGTATCGAAGCTGCTTTGTATATTACGTCAGTGAGATAACGCACAAGGGTGGAAGGAATTGCCAACCAAGATCATTAATCCGGTAGATTTCATTATGTGAAAGGATGCAAGGTTTTCTGATGTGTTGTACCACATATCTGCACGGACCATGGCGGTAGAGGCGGAGTGAACTGCACCACGTCATAAGGCTTTATGCTTGGTCTATAGACGAAAGGCCTTCAGATAAAAGAGACGGAAAAGGGAACGTCAAGATATTACCTTTACTCCCTAGTTCAGGTAACCTGTTCAGCATTCTTGATATTACCAGCCATATATGATTTATAACATAAAATAAATTGTGCCAGTATGCGTTCTGTGTCGCGAAACCTTTTACCGCCAATATCCTTCGATGGGTTACTGCTTCACGCTGCATTTTTCACGAGTATTCAGGTTTTTCATATGGGAGGGTGGCCCTGTATGCTAAATGTCATACTAGCCACTGTCGCCTCCACTTTGGCAATAGCACCCATCGGTCTTCTGGGCTTTCTTCTCCTCGTCTCATTTACTTCGCGTCAAATTAGATGTCTGTCAAAGCACGACCAGACTGTCATAGGGAAGCCTCTCCTTTTCCCTGCCACGCTTGACCATACTCGCCTATCACCAATCAAAAACAAATTCACCTTCAATGTCTTGTTTGTCGGGATACCGATAGGACTCAGCTGCCGATTCGGGCGACTGCTTTCTATTGATGCAGAAGATGTAGATGAGAATAAGTGCAGTGAGGGTTCCATAGTCCTAGCTTGGTTGAGGTCCCTCTTTTCCAGCTGGTTAAGTTTTGACTCGGCAAGATACCTCCACCGTGGAGATGACACAATGAACTTACAGATCAAGTTACATAATTTTTTGAAGGAGCATGTATGCCGTCTGATGTTGTGAGGCTGAGAGCTAAGCTGACATGTATTCAGAATGAAGACCCTGGCAAATGGCCTTACGCGTATATGCTGAGCGTACCGCGGTTTTTGTGGTGGGAACGGAGCGTGGTGACGTGGTGGTATCTATATTCACCAAGCAAGGAATTAGATGCGGTGATTACGGAGATCAACAACTCATTTGATGAAAAAAGAAATATCTTGTTCAGGGTACAGCGTACAAACACACTTGGAAACCCAGCAAGGAACCATCAACAACCCGTGGATCTTAAGGAGGAGTACTTAGATAAGGGCAGAAGGGTATGTTCGCTGAACCCACAACGTGAACCATACGCCTACAGGGCGACCTGGAAGAAAGATATTTTTGCCAGTCCATTTGAAAAGGTCGGAGATACCATATCTACCACGTTCATGGATCCTGTAACACCGGCATCATGGTCAGGAAATCGGTCTCTCTCAAATATGATCAATCTAGACCCCTCTGGAAGTCCTAGAATGATAGCCAGGCTTAAGTGCAAGGTACCGCCCATCGACCCGAGCCACGCATCGTCTTTCCAAATCTTTCGTCTCCTCTTGACATGGACTGTGAATATCACCTTGACAACACCGAGGATCCTGTTTATAGCCATTCGACTTCACATTATGAACCTTATGAGGATGATGGACCGACCGGATATACGGCCGGGGAGCGAGCCAAGACGGGCCACTAACGGGGAAAGGCAAGATACATCTTTCAGAATCCTACATGATGTTTTTGGGCTAGTTACTGACCTATTCAATAGGGCGCTCGAACACTTCTTCCGAGAATATCTGGAACACATCGTTGCCTCTAATCCAGGGAACTTGGAAGTCACATACATACCTTGCAAGTCAGTGTCGAAAACCACAACTTGTCTGAGATCTACACAATACTCGGAAGAGAACCATCCCATGCAGTTGAAATTCGAAGTTATGGATCCAGCCTTCTATTCCCGAATCGTCAATTCTTCGAACCCATGCATTGCTATGGCAAAGGAAACAAAACCTGGAAGGTCACCTGCTGATGCATTAGCCTCCCCTGTCATTGCTTCCGATATACCTCTATTCGTACAGCTATTTGATGTGACCATCAAAGAGATCAGGAATCATGATAAAGCCAGCTTCGGACTGTCGTCACTCATAATCTCTCTTCGCCGTTGGCTGACTCCCTCGTTCATGGATTGCTTTGTTTGCAATGTCCTCCCGCCCCATATCCAAGAGGACTACATCTCATGTCTAATACAACTATGGGTGGAGAAAGTGACGTGGAACCTTCTGAGTCCTCAACAGATATACAGCGTGATCAGGGCTGCAGTGCTGCAGTGGGTTATTTGCTGGATACTGTTCTGCATTATATAACAGATTCGGTGCTCGGCAATAGAAAAAGGCCTAGAGACGTATCAGGACAAGTGTTGTCTGTTTTCTCCTTCTTTTCCCTGCAGTTCAAGCAATTCAGCTTTACACGCTTCGATGACCATGGAAAGCATTCCTCGATCATCAATGCGATAGACTGGTGAAGATGTCACAAGAAGCAAGCTAAGGATACCTGAGCCTCTAGTTAGGCAAGATCTGTAGCATAAATTCAAAACAACCGTCATGCGTGAGCTCATGAAATGTTGTGGAAGGAAGGGGTGCGCCAATCCGTACACTTTAGAAGACGTTTTCTTTTTCTGCAAGTGGGGGGCGACAGTAGAAATGCGCCTCCTACATATAATCCCACGAGAAAGAATTCTTTGAGGTGAGTAAGGTTGCTGCAAAATATAAACACGAGAAATATGAGTTAGGATCTTCGCTATAGTAGGCGTTTTCGCTGAAGGTTCCGCATCATATACCAACACGAACATACAATCACCATCCTTACAAGCACAACTGTCGGCCAAAGTACAAGTCCACTATTTAAAGCATGAATACCCAAGCACAACGCAATGACTATGGGTGTAAGCAAGTTAATACACCCTATGGGTTTTGGGAAGATGGCGTGGAGACTATCGTCAGAGAAAATGGCCTAGGCAGTCCAACATTGCACACGGAAGATATCCACGGGAGAAGCATAGTGACCCAGAATCGGTCATTCATTAACTGTGTAAGCTCCGAGCCGTAGTCGCTGAAGGTCAAAGCGGCGAGTAGGCACTCGGGCACCATGAAGACGGGGGATCCAGCTGCAGCACTGGCGAGCCGAAGGTCCGGGATGGCTGGGTGAATATTTGGAAATCAGGCTGATTTGACTCATATTTTCAGCTGAGTAAGAAACATACAATGTCTCCAATATCATGAAACATTACACTCGCTGCTCGAGTCTTGTTTTAGTAAGTCAAATAATGAGTGTGAACTCTCTCTGCATCACACCATGGTGCTGTCGGGGGATATCACTTGAATCTGCGAGGCTGATCAAGAGGAAATTCGCTACAAAGCCTCCGCAGCTATTGACGCAATATTGCCATCTCTTGCATGTAAGGCTAGCCCCAAGCCTCAAATAGGACTTCGGTAATTCCTCAGAGGCAGTTTTAGCATGTAAATTGTAGTAAGTTAAGACGATTTATAATAAGTCATAAAATACGGAAGAGGACCTTACAGGACCCAAGTCAGTGTGATATGACGTCTATATACAGCGTCTTTCGTGGTTGGAATGTGCACAATCTATGCAGAATAGATGCTTGGTGCCTAAAACGGCGTAGATGGTATGATGGTTCATTGCTCATGAACAGCTCTTGTTACAGTACAATTACAGCTCAAATCAGATGATCCCTTGCCGAAGCTGCATCCTTGCTTCATCGGCAGATATTTTGTATTGTCCCATGGTACACTTGGCGTATTCCTACTTCTGACATAATTCATTCCTCTTCAGACACTCTCCCCAAGAAAAGCTCCTATTAGCATCTTCTCTACACACGCAGTGCCTCAACCGAAACGATTCTGACAAAGAACTCTATGATCTTCATAAATATCACATCAATGCCCTTTCCAAGCGGTATGATATGGCAGCGCGGGTATGCTGTCTTCAGAATACGGGAAAGAGAAATTTTCTGTACCCAAGCTAACCTGGCAATCCTTTACGAACTCTGTATCAGGAAACTTCATCCTGTCATACCCTCTTCCCAGATTCCATTTCGTATGGTATGACTATCGGCACCAGAAATATCGAGTGGAGAAATCCTTTTCTGCACATCTTTATCTACTCCATTTCATTCTTGGGAGCTTTTACTACCACATGATTTTTGTTCATTTGTCCACCACAACAGACTGGTGTTAATGGAGAACATTGACAATGAATACTCTTATATATGCCTCTGTATTTGGGATTTTAGCTCTCAATGTCGTCAGGCTCAGCCACTTCCGAAAGCGAGGTGCCCTTCCACTGCCCCCAGGGCCGAAGGGTCTGCCGCTGGTTGGTAATATACACGATCTCCCGCCTCACGGGAGTAGAGAATGGGAGCACTGGTTAAAGCATAAAGATATCTACGGTATGTCAATCTCGTAGGAGCTTTGGCTTCGTCTAGTGAAGCTGAATTACCAGGCTCTATCAGCTCTGTGTCGACGCCAGGAAACACTCTGATCATCATCAATGATGCCAAGGTTGCGATTGATCTTCTCGAAAAGCGATCGGCGCAATACTCATCCCGAGCTCGCATGATATTTGGCTCTGAATTGTAAGTTCTGAATCGTGATCATTCTACAACCTAGTAAATTGCGCTAAGAATGTTCCATTCCGGGATAGGGCGGGATGGGAGCGCATGGTCACAATGAAGCGCAACCCTGTCCATGTTCGGGGACAGCGAAGGCGGATCCACCAATATCTGGGTTCAGCTAATGCTCTCTCATCGTTCTACACCCAGCAGGATATTGAAGCTCGACGATTTCTTCTTCGGGCTCTCCAGTCCCCTGAAAGACTCGTGGATCATATTAGAAGGTATATATGATGCCCGTCTAATCCACTACCACGTAGCTCACGGATAGAAACAGCCAAACAGGAGCTACCATCTTGAAAATTGTCTACGGGTATACCACGCAGCCTCACGGCCGTGATCCTCTTGTTGATCTTGCGGATACATCGACGGAGCAATTTGGAAAAGCACATACGCCAGGAACATGGCTTGTGGATAGTTTCCCTCTATGTATGTACTAGAATCTCAGTACTAACAGAACCTCCTAATCCTCCTCTTAGTGAGATACCTCCCAGAATGGGTTCCTGGGGCCGGATTCCAGACTAAAGCCCGCGAATGGAGATCGACATTGGATAAACTGGCTGAACAACCATATCTGTTTGTCCAAGAACAAATGAAGAACCGGACGTGCCAGCCATCTTACGTTTCCAAGCACCTCACACAGGCGGGACCCGACATCGATTCAGAGGAAGAAATGGAAATCAAGTGGTCGGCAGCGACACTCTACGGAGCTGGTGCAGATACGGTCAGTACACCGTCATGAAAACTATGAAAAAATAGTTTACATTTAGGGTCTGCTTGACAAATGTAGACGGTATCCGCTTTATCATCCTTTTTCCTGGCCATGGCCCTCTTCCCTACCGTCCAGACCAAAGCGCAAGAAGAACTCGACTGCGTTGTAGGGACCAGTCTCCCCACAACAGAAGATCGCACAAACCTACCATATATCAACGCAGTCATCAAAGAAGTCCTCCGGTGGAACCCTGTCACTCCTCTTGGCGTCGCACATGCTTCTACGAAGGAAGATGTATATGAAGGATATCGGATTCCAAAGGATGCAACAATTGTCCCAAATATATGGTGAGCTGTCTAGTACCAACCGTGTTTGCCTCACCCTCATCTAGGACTCTAGGGCTTTTCTACATGATCCCGAAGTCTACTCAGATCCGATGACATTCAACCCCGAGAGATTTCTGGAGACGGAGACCCATCCCGCAGAAATCGATCCCCATAATCTTGCCTTTGGATTCGGTCGTAGAATATGTCCCGGTCGTGGGTTTGCTGACTCTACCATTTTTCTTACTGTCGTGCGGTCATTGCAGGCTTTCCGGATTGGCAAGCTTGTCAGAGATGGAAGAGAGATCGAACCCGCTGTGGATTATCTGCCAGGGGTGATTAGTCACCCCAAAGCTTTTGAGATTTCTATTACACCAAGGAGTAAAGAGCATGAGTTGTTTATTCGTTCTATTGAGATAGAGCATCCGTGGGACAAGGGGGATATCGTCATTGTTTGAGATATTCGGTTTTTAATACATATCTTTGTGCTCTTGATTAGTCTATCACCATCATAAACCTTGTTCCGGAGCTTAGGAGCTTCATCCTAACTGTTGATAGACCGGTAATAATGAAGAGTAATCTTACAACTTTTACCATATACACTTCTTTCTCAGACTGCTGCTTTTTCACAACTGCAAGCTATCCATTTAAGTGCCACCAATCCAAACCTATCAACACCAAATTTTCGCAATACAACGTGCCCTGCAAGTAAGCAAAATAGGAAGTTGCGCATTATCCTAGAAAAGGAAATGGGACATGCCGCCTTATCATCGTGGATGTATTGTCACCTTTGCAGAAGTTTATGTAGGTCTGAATACTTTCCCATGCAGGTAAAGACCTCCAGCTGAGATACTTCGGAAATGCGAGGGGTTAAAAGCAGCGCGAAACGCAAGGAAGGACGATGACGACATTTTACTAAAGAAAAGACAGACTGCATGAGCTGTGTACCTGGGCACTAGATGCCTTAAATGGCATTCTTGCGTTCGCGGGCACCATCCATCCAATGAAGAATGGGCAAGGTCAGTGTCTCACAAGATACCCCCAGTATCCCCGTTCCAGTTTTTACACTGGATCATTGTTATATCCAATAAGATCTGAAAAAGCGACCATGACCTATCTTTTACGCGGAACAGCTTTCATCACCGGGGCAGGCTCGGGTAGGACGGCAGCACCACGTGAATCTACCAGCAAAGCTGAAATAAAATATAGGCATCGGAGCCGGCGTGGCTCATAAATTCATTCAGAATGGCATTTCTAAGCTAGCGCTAGTCGACATCAATTCTTCCAGTCTTCAAAAAGTCTCCGAGTCGCTGAAACAAACATCTCCCTATGCGGAACTGCTGACAGCATCTGTTGACGTGACGAACGAAGCACAAGTCAACAATGCGGTCCAGACGGCCGCCACTAAGTTCGGTCGGGTGGATATTGGAGTTAATTGTGCTGGGGTTGGTGACGCAGGAGAGCCCACACATCAATTATCCCTAAGGGACTGGCAGCGCACAGTTGACATTAACCAGACGGGGGTGTGGCTGTCGCAGAGGGCACTTCTTCAGCAGATGCTTACTCAGACGTATGTAATGGTCTCAGCTGTATGGGTATAGGTGCCAGTTTCAATAATGTACAGATCGTGTGGTTACCGACGTGGTCGTGGAGTTATTGTTAACGTCTGCTCCTCACTAGGCATATCTGCCTCGGCTACGGGTATACCTTTCCCTGCATATGTATCCTCGAAACACGGTATGTTTGTCTAGAACATCCATGATATACTTTTGCTCATGGCTTATGCGCATCTATAGGCGTGATGGGACTCACGAAAATGGTTTCAATACCCATCCAATTCTGATAGCAATTACCTCAGCTGATTAATGGCATAGGATGCCAAGTACTACGCCCCGAGTGGAATCCGCATAAATGCCGTTTGTCCAGGGTATGTCAATTCTCTCCTTGCTGCTCCCATTGCAGTTCCCTGAAGAGTATACAGGTTTGTGAATACGCCAATGATATCGGATGCAGTAGACTCGGGGGCCTTTAAGGAAGAAGTCGAGAGTACACCAATAGGGAGAGCAGCCGATGTGGAGGAGATCACCGACTCGATTCTATTCCTGGCTTCGCCTATGAGCAGCTATGTCTATGGAGCAGGTTTAGTTGTTGATGGAGGATATGGACTTTAGTGTTAAAGATGACAATGGTTGGCACACTGGCTTTATCACTTCTAGAAATTTATTCCTGCTACTCATTTCATCAGCATCAATTGTAAGATATTGACATCGTGATGGCTCAATGCTATGCTCGTTAACACCTGAATCTTCTCTTGGCGAACATCATGGATCACAGTCCCGCTAGTCCGAATTATGATAGTACCAATTAAATATATCTCTTAACTACCGGGTAGTAAGTCTCCCATTCTGCATTCCTGCCTTGGAGACCCATATAGCGCAGAACGGCCCAAATCACACACCCACCAATAATAAACCCCGATTACAATTCTTCACCAGCCAGCCCTTGTCCCTCAACGGCCGTGCGTCAAGTGACAGACGCCCCGTCAGTGCACTAATGCATCTGAGCGGGTCGTCAGACGGCACAACTGTCTTGCTGGAGGGGGAGGTCATGCATGGACGTTTTAGTGACACCAAACTGTAGCCATCCAACAACTAGCGTGACGATATTGCTCCTACCATTGTCGATATTAGACTTCCCCACTACCTTAATAGGCCTTTCTCAACCCGCCCGAAGCACAAACTAATGCAAGGCTGTCATTGCAACGTAACCGAGAGTCGAGTAGTGTTGAAGGAATATCCTTGCTCGTGTAATCAGAGCGGGGAAGAGTATACTTAGCACCAGTATATAAGAATAGTACCACCTTATAAGCATGACCCTCTCCCCGCCCAACACTCCAGTCTGATACCTTACACCCTCTACCTGTACATCCATCCATACCACAACAATGCCCACCATCCTCCTCACCCTCCTCGCCCTCTTCACCCTCCGCCTCCTCTACGAATACAAACGCGACCGCAACCTTCCACCAGGCCCACGTCGCCTCCCCCTAATCGGCAACCTGCACCAAGCCCCTCAAACCCTCCCGTGGCGAGTCTTCGACCAATGGAGCAAAACCTACGGGCCTATCATGTCCGCCCAATTTGGGCGCCAAACCCTCATTTTGATAACCTCACCCACCATCGCACGCGATCTTCTCGACAAACGCGGTAGCATCTATGCCGACCGCCCAGACCTCGTTATGGCGAATAACATCACCAAGGGCCTGCACATGCTCATCCGGCAATACGACGACTGGTTACGACTCCACCAGCGCCTCGATGCTCCGCTGCTTAGTCCCCGCGCGTCGAATACATACCACCCCATACAGGATCTGGAGAGTAAGCAGCTCATGTTCGACTTGTTGCGGTCGAATGACTTCGACGCGCATTTCGAGAGATATAGTGGGAGTTTGATGTTCGCGTTGGCGTACGGGTTCCGACTTCTCTCGCCAAAGGGGCAGGAGTTGCGCGATATGCGGACCATTCAGGGGAATTTTACCTACGCGGCGAGAGTGGGAACGTGGATTGTGGATGCGATTCCGGTGTTGAATTACTTGCCGGCGGTGGTGGCGCCGTGGAAGAGGCTGGCGGAGAAGCTGTTTCGGCTGGAGGCGAGTGTACACACAAGACATCTGGAGAAGGGGTTGAGGAGTGAGGCGTGGAATTGGTCGAAGGAGTTCTCCGCGTCGAAGCATGCGGAGGGGATGCCGCGGATGGATTTAGCGTATAACCTGGGGATTTTGGTGGATGCGGGGTTTGAGACGACGTGGGCGGTGATGAAGATCTTTGTGTTGGCGATTCGGACGGATCCGCGGTTTGTGGCGGTCGCAAGGAAGGAGTTAGATGAGGTGGTGGGTGAGGATAGGATGCCGACGTTTGAGGATCAGGAGAAGTTGGTGTATGTGCAGGCAGTTGTGGATGAGACGTTGCGGTGGAGGTCGATGGCTCCGGGCGGGATACCGCATGCTGCGAGGAAGGAGGATACTTACATGGGATATCGGATCCCAAAGGGGGCGACGGTGATTCCGTTGTTCTGGTCGATGTGTCTGACTGATGAGCCGTGGGATGATCCGCTGGAGTTTCGGCCGGAGAGGTGGTTCGAGGCGACTGGGAAGGAGGATGGTCGGTTTCGCAATTTCTTTGGATATGGGCGGCGGATATGCACGGGTCGGCATATTGCGAGGAATTCGTTGTTTCTACTAATGGCTAGGATTCTTTGGGCGTTTGATATCCAGGCGCCGCTGGGAGATGATGGGAAACCGGTACCGGTGGATGATATGGCGTTTGATTCAGCTTTTGTGTCGACACCGGAACCTTTTGAGGCGCTGTTTGTGCCGCGCAGTGAGAAGGCCAAGGCGATCGTAGAGCGGGAGTGGAATGACGCAGAGAAGGACATGGCGGTGTTGATGGATAAGGTGCGGGAGAGCCAGCGGGCGCTTGGGCTGGATATTAGGGCGTGAATAAGGGGATTCGGCCAAGGAAAAGTATAGTATTAGGTATATGGTATTAAATATGTACGATGAAGATGTAGCCTCTATGCAACATAGTATGTATGTGTAGCAGTTATCGATCCAGCAGTCCGATCCGTTTGGCCACCCAGGCGAATATAACAGTCAGTCCTAGGATGAAACCTAGAATGCTAAACCACCAAGTGAGTGAGTTGTCCCCATCATGCGTCTTCCCTGGCACTCTGACATTCATTCCAAATAAACCCGTGATGAACTGCATCGGCACGAGAATAGATGCAAGAACCGTTAGCTTGCTGAGTGCCGATGCAATACCATTGCGCATGCGCCCGGAATCGAAGTGAACCTGGGTGAGGTACTTGGATTGCAATCGCGAGAGCATCTGCTCGGCCTGCTCGAGGTTTGCAATCATGGTAACGACGTGATCGCAGATGTCGCTAAGGTACAGGGCAACCTGCGATGACGAGGTGTCGGAGATATCGCAGTGCCGCGCAAAGGACCGGATGACGTCGATCTTGTCGTGCAGCGGCTGACGAATGTTCATGACCTCCTTGCGCAGTTTGAAGATACGCTGCAAGGCGAGTCCCATGTCGTCGGGCCGAGTGATGGAGACGGAGTCTTCCACTGTTACAACACCAGTTTCGACACGACTGATAAACGGGGCAAAGCCGTCAACAATGTCATCGCTGTCAAGCGTCAGTAAACATCACCGTAACAGAGCTAAAGTAGTGGTGGCTTACATCAGGGCATAGCAAATCCAATCGCTGGTCAACAGCAGATGACTGCTGTGCTCCTTGATACGCTGTCGCACATGGCTAGTGTGCAGACTGGGGTCGAAACTGAAGCTGAGAACGCCGCCCCGGAACACCACGGCGTAGAGGTTGTGCGAGACGATGCGTACGCCAGTGTCCGTCTCGAGTCGGCGCGGCGGTCGCAAAGAGAGAAAGTAGTAGTGACCGAAAAGTTCGATCTTTTCTCTGGTTTCACGGGTTTTAATATCCTCCGTAGTCAGAGGGTGGAGGTTGAAGAATCGCGCTAAAGCTTCAATGTCTTCTTCCGCTGGAGCCGTGATATCAAGCCACCATAGGCCACTGTGGGCCCCTGTCTCCAGAAGGAGGTCAAAGGGCTTATACACAGAGCACAAGTCCTCGATACTGGAGGCCTCGATCGAGGTATTTAGCTGCGAGGTGAAGAAGTTGATGCGGCTGACAGCTGCCGGCCGGGGCTTCTCCAGCCGGGGGTCGGTGGTCGAATCAGATGACATGATTGCAGCCAGCGGGGCGGGCTCCATCCCTGGGCGGGGAAGGCCGGATTGAAGATTATGGGCACAGCTGGAATGGAGAAGACATCAACAGGGATTCCAAGGGGGAAGCGCAGCGCATCCTGACGATTTGTGTGTGCGATGGATGAAGCCCGATGATGCGATGAAAGACAGGGAGAGAAGAAAAGTCGAGCCGGAGCCGTGGCGGTGCACCTGCCATCCCGCCTGTGGGCCAATCAGAACGGGATCAGGCCATCCACGTGTTACCGCCCGGTCAGTCTTCACAGAAAGTTGATCAACACCTTGACACTTCACAGTCCATATCTCTGATCTATCAACTGTGCAAGTATCATCTAAAAATAACCGAGGCTCTAGAGGTCCTTCCTCGCCCTCTTAGACGCTGACCAATCAGAGTCGCGGATCGTCATCTCCTCCGCATTGCCGCATTCGGCATAAACAGCACGTGACAAGTAGCTGGACAGGCAATCATTAGAACGAACTGGTGATGTCAAGTGAGTCTACTATACTATGGCCTGTTTCTAGTAGAAGTGCTCTCTGTGCATGTACCCTTGAAATTTCCATTTCCCGAGCATGATGAATGCAAAGTATTTTCCCATTGTACCTAACTCGTAGATGTCGACGTCATTGCCAGAACGACGCTCGTTATCAGTCAGCTAATCTATATTATCGTGATCAATGCCCATGTTCCGTCCCAGTTCATATACAACGCCAAACCTGAACGCCAGAATCAGATATACCGACTTAGGATTTCATCGTGGTCTGGCCGCATGCCCCACCCAGCCAATACCGCGTCAGCAGCTGCACAGCATCTGTGTTCTTCCGCGTGAAATCATACAACTTCGAAGCACGGATGTTGAGCATCGCTCCATCAAAATCGGCCTCTAGAACACGGGCATGACGGGGGCCCATGAGGGAAAGAACCAGCATCTACAAGACAAGGATTAGTAGAAGCCTTTGATGGAATCTGTCAGAGAAAGACTGTACCGGAGCAACAATATGCAGTCGCAGTGTGTTGCTTCTTGGACGGGCCCTCATGATGTCTTTAATTGTCATGATTTCTCCACGGAGTAGTCTACCATCACCAATTGCTTCATTTTCCACTATTGCCTTGATGTGGGGCAAGTTCTCGTCTGGGTAATCAGTCACCGAAACAGCATACCAGTTAAACTTCCCACACTCCAATAATTGGCCGAACTTGAAATCCCCAATTCTAGGATGATATAGTCAGAAAGCCAGCTAGCATACCGGAATAGCGGGGAAAGAAGTCACATACTCCCGGTACACACCATACGGAGGGTTTTGGGGATACTCGCGCTTTGCAGACCCTCTGCAGTCATGGAAGTGGTCAAAGAGGAAGACCTCCAACGCACGAGTGTCCCACATGATATTATCCGGGGTCAGCTCAATCTGAAGAAATTCGTCTTCCTCAACTGGAAGAGGCAGCTCCTCTTCGTAAGGTCTGAAGAAAGACGTCCGGTCCTTGGCACCCTCGAGGGACAAAGGAAAATGGCGGATACCAGCCGCCTTCAGGTCGCTTGGTTCAACATGCATATTTGGTGTTTGCTTGATGTGTTCCTCAATTTTGGCCAAAGCATGTCGACGAGCTTGTCGCTCGAGAAGAAGCTGCTGATCAGACATGATTACTGAGTCCTGAGAGGTGATGATGAGCTGGAGAGGAAGGGGGAGAGATCGAATCTTGGCGACGGTTATTGCGGCCTGAGGCAAGCATCTCCAGGCCAAGTCCTCTATAGAATACGGAAACTGATACCTTACTCAAAACCTCTCAGTGACAGCACCTACATTATAGGGAAAGGATTCTGGTCTACTATGGAAACAAGAAGAAGTAGACTTAGTTACTAATCCCGGGGCTATATGCCAACCGCTGCTCCTGCATGGTGGCAATTGATCCTGCCTTCTCATTCACCCTCCGTTCTTGACCCATTGCACCGTTGATGCGCCGACTAGGATATCCGCGTAGTAAATCAGACCTGCATCTTCACAAGACCAACATGTGTGAACACATGTTCGTAAATTCGAACACACTGGATGAATTTCCTGTAACACGTTCCCCTTGGTTCCAGTGACTGGCATACGTAAGCCGAAGCACAAGACTTCCAGCTATATTGATGCAGTGCTCTCAAGTCGTCCACGATACAAACCAATTATACATGGCCTTCACACCTCACCATCTACACCAATAATGATTATATTACCACCTGTCATGAAAATCTCATATGCAGAGTATAATGATGGCCATAATTACTATCTTCACCATGCGGTGCCCCCATGACTGCATTCACATCTCAAAAATGCATCAATATGAACCATGGAGAACACTCGGCTGGGGGAAATTGGAACTATCAATGATGTTTTTCTAAAATAGCCTTACTTGCTATGCATATTCCACCTGAGCTAGTGAAAAGCAGAGGATAGAAGACCAACATTAGATTCACAATAGCAGTTGCGTGGTGTGTTGATGGAAACATCAAAATATTGTCTTGTTCACGCAACTTATACAGATCCTGAATGGTGACCAAGATGGGAACTGTGAGAATCATTGAAATTCCAAATCATTCGCCGTCAACAAGAGGTTTCCTTCATGAAATTCTCCTGTGCAGTGTCTCAGTATCCTGAGTTTTACCCTGACATGCACACTTTCCCTTGCGCAAAAGCATCACTCCTCATTAATTTATTATTACATCTACAGTACCCTGATATTTTTCTGGTAATCGGGAGCAGCCAGTCCACCTCTTCATCCTCAGTCATCAATCTGGACTTGATTTGTGGTCACATTACCAGAGAGAATCTGTGTTCTGTGTTCGGGACAGGAAATTGCCGCTTCCAATCTCTAGCATCCCATCTCCCACCTTGATTGACAATAAAACACTCAGACACCTCTACCGCATTACCCGGACAATATATCTCCCAGTTCAATGTAGACCAGCGGGGTAAACCCCACCAAACACACTAATCGTAGTGCAGACCCTCGTGCTCTAGCAGTCTTCGGGATAGATTCCGAGCGGCGGAGATACCGCCGGAACAGATTCCATGTCCATCAATGCCCGCACCCCACCGGCAAAACACATTATGTAACTGGGTAAGCGCTTCTCCGGCCCTCCCACGCCACCCCAATTACCTAGCACAATGTCAGGCATAATTCCCACCACAAGTTGCCCCAGAGCAACAGCCGCATTACTATGCAGCGTCATATGCATCCAGATCCACTCCCCGGTCAGGGACTGCATTTACCCCAGACCAGACCAGACCAGACCCACCACAGAATCCCAACTTGACTCACCGATATAAAAACACCCTTCTCACCAGCACAAAACCCACCATTCTTCACGCAATTGCAACCTGAAACCTGTAAATACCATGATTAACATTATCATCGTCGGCGCCGGCCTCATCGGCCCCCGCCACGCCCAATCCGTCATCAACAACCCCTCCACTAATCTTCTTGCCTTGGTCGACCCCTCTCCAAGCGCTTCATCCGTGGCTAAAACCCTCAACACGCTTTACTTCCCCTCTTTATCAGCCCTCCTCTCTTCTGTACCCGACATCCCGCACCCAGACGCCGCCATTATCTGCACCCCCAACCACACGCACGTCCCCGTTGCTCTCGAACTCATCAGCCACAACATCCACATCCTACTCGAGAAGCCTATCAGCGATACTATCACCACCGCGCTTCCCTTACTCCAAGCGCACC